ATGGTCACTGCTCCTACGGGAGCACCGACCCCCTGGCTCACCGCAGTCCTTAATGTGCCACCCGCCTGGAAGCTCCTAGAACCAGGGCGCCACTCCCTCCTGGGGCCGCCCCGACACAGCCTTCCCACCTGAGCCCTGGCAGGTGCATCACAAGCCCGAGCCATCCACTGAGTCCAAGGACCATCTGCTGCTCTAAGGTGAGGGACAGAAGCCAGGGCCTGACGCGGGCAGTGCTCGCTTCTCGCTGCCGCCGTCCTCTGCTGTCACTGGGCTCTCCCTGGCATCCTCGGGGACATGGGCCCCTGCCTGCTGTCCCTCCCATGATTCCGTCAGCACCCGCGAGGGCTCCCCCCCACCCCCGCCGGCTGCCTGCCTCCTCGAGCCCTCGGGCCCAGCGTGCGCACCTCGCAAGGTCAGGCCCACCAGGGGCTCACCAGGACCCGCATCCTTCCGTGACCTCAACTCTAAGGGTCCTTCCCAGTGACCAGAGCCTCTGTCCCAGCACTCGCTGCCCCCTGTGACTCTACCCCAGCAGTCCTCCACCGCCGCCACCCCCCGTTGAGCCGCCTGGTTCTGCGGGGTCGCACCCTCCACCCGCTCCTGGGCGCCCGGCCTGCAGGTGTATGGCCGTGACCTCTCCCGGGGAGCCCTCGCCCCGCTGCGACCGCCGGACCACAGCCCTGGTCTCAGTTAAACCCAACACCGGGCAGGGGCGCCTGGGTGGCTCGGGGGTTGAGCGTCTGCCTTGGGCTCAGGGCGTGACCCTGAGGTCCTGGGATCGGGTCCCACATGGGGCTCCCTGCATGGAGCCAGCTTCTCCCTCTGCCTGTGTCTCTGCCTCTCTCTCTGTCTCTCATGGATAAATACATAGAATCTTAAACAAACAGACAAACAACGCTGGGACTTGGGGGACCCCTGAGTACTAAGCTTGGCTGGAGAAAAACTCGGGCTGCTGATGAACCCACTTCAAAGGGCACTCGACGCTGCTGGACAATCCCACACACGGGACCCTGGGCCTTGTCTCCTCTCTCCTGGAACCTCCAGCTGCACTAGCTTCCATTTCTCAATTACATGTCAGATTATAAAATGTTGATGTATAACACATTCATGTGGTTCAGTAATAAAAAATTATTTATTTTAGATTTTTAAAAATTTATTTATTCATGGAGACACAGAAGAGAGAGAGAGAGAGAGGCAGAGACACAGGCAGAGGGAGAAGCAGGCTCCATGCAGGGAGCCTGACATGGGACTTGATCCCGGGACTCCACGATCATACCCCGGGCTGAAGGCGGCCCTAAACCACTGCACCACTGGGGCTACCCAATAATAAAAATTTTAAAAATTTAAAACAGGATATACAGTGAAATATTTCCTCCTCAGGGCTCCTTGGTGGCTGTTGGTGAAGTGTCTGCCTTTGGCTCGGGTCATAATCTCAGGGTCCTGGGATTGAGCCCCAAATCAGGCTCCCTGCTCAGCTGGAAACCTGCTTCTCCCTTGCCTGCTGCTCCCCTGCTTGTGCATGCTCACTTGCACATGTTCTCTGTCGAATAAATAAATAAAATCTTTACCAAAACGATAAATAAAATTTTAAAAGGAAAAAAATCTCTCCTTCTCAATCTCTGTCTCCCTCCCCATCACCCACCTACCTCCTCCTCTCTCTCCCTCTACTTCTGGTGTGTGCACACCCACCTGTGTGCCCGCACACTCACAAATAACCACTCTTGTTAGCTCCTGCTTTGTTCTAGGCTGCCTTAATGCACACATAGACTGATACAAATGAATATATATGACGTGTAAGAAACAAGATTCTCTCTAGATCTTTTCCCACTTTTTATTTATTTATTTTTAAAAGATTTTATCCATTTATTCATGAGAGGCAGAGAGAGAGAGAGAGAGAGGGAGAGAGAGAGAGAAGCAGGCTCCATGCAGGGAGCCCAACGCAGGACTCGATCCTAGGTCTCCAGGGTCAGGCCCAGGCTGAAGGCAGCACTAAACCGCTGAACTACCCAGGCTGCCCTTTTCCCACTTTTTAAAAAGATTTTTAAAAATGTATTTGAGGGGATCCCTGGGTGGCTCAGCGGTTTCGCACCTGCCTTTGGCCCAGGGTGCGATCCTGGAGTCCCGGGATCGAGTCCCACATCAGGCTCCCTGCATGGAGCCTGCTTCTCCCTCTGCCTGTGTCTCTGCCTCTCTCTCTCTCTCTCTCTATGTCTATCATAAATAAATAAAAATAAATCTTTAAAATAAAATAAAATAAAAATGTATTTGAGAGAGAGAGAGAGAGAGAGCACAAGCAGAGGAAGAGGCAGAGGGAGAAGCAGGCTCCCTAAGGAGCAGGGAGTGCAATGCAGGGCTCCATCCCAGGACCCCGGGACCATGACCTGAGCTGAAGGCAGACGCCTAACCGACTGAGCCACCCTGGCGCCCCTCTGTTCCCACTGTTATCTATTGGAACGCAACACACCGCAAACTGTTCCACGTTGTGCTTTTTTTCTCCTTGGCATTACCTATTGGAACAATTTCAGCATCAGGACAGAGAGAACTTCCTCATGCTTGTGTACAGCTGTATAGTGCTCCATTGTCTGGGGCACTCAATTACTTCCCCCGAGCTCCTGCTGGACGCGTAGGGAGTTTCCAACACTTGGCTACTCCACGGTGACTAGCCTGGTACCTGCATCACTTTGCGTGGATATTAGAGTGTGGATAAGATACATTCCTGGAAGGGCAATGGTTCAGTTTCTGTTGACTTGATTCATATTGTCGAATGGCCCTCCATGGGGACTGAGTAAAATTACCCTCCCAGTGTACTGAGTGAGAGTACTTGATGGCTGTGAGCCCCGCCATCCGGTATTGTCACCCACTTGAGTTTTGGACCATCTAATGAGACACACTCTTTCTGCAGGCCTCTCAAACTTCACCCCCAGGGGCCTCCTTCCTCTGCACTCAGGTCTTCCTCATCTGGGAGGTGACACCACTGTCCCCCCTGCCTGGGTCGTTTTGATGGTTCAGGGACTACTTTTCTCTGCACCCCACTCCAGAGCCAACCCCATGTCCTTCCACATCGCAGCGCTCGCTGACAACATCATCTCTCCCCCAGGCAACCCGAGCACCCCTCAAAGGGCCCCCTGGCCTGCCCCGAGCCCTCCATTCTCCACACAGCTGCCAGAGGGGTCTTTCCAGGTCATACATCACATCAGTCCCAACTGCCTCTTCGGAATCCTCAATGCTTTCCTTTTACAGCTGGAGTGAACCCCAACTCCCAGCCTCGGCTGCGGTTCTCAGACTCCTGGCTGCCTCTTTGGTTGGATCTGGCTCCGCTTCCCCCCTGCACCACTCACCCCCGAGCTCCTTCCCAAGAACTGGAACGTTTCCAGCACCACCCACGCTGTACCCCCTGCACTGCTCTGGCCGGGTCTGATTAAGCGGCCTTGTCAAGTTTGAGGTCCCCAACCAGGTCTCCTCTTGCGTGAGCACTCTGCACCTCCGCCTGGCCGCGGCTGGGCCTGCCTCACCCTAATCTGCCTTCATCTCCACTGAGTCACTCCCACCCAGCACCCCACTGCACTTGGACCTGAACTGTTTACTTGCTCTGTGCTTCTTGTGGGCCTCCGGGAATGTCAGCCCTTCTGGGCAGAGCAGGGATGGGGGAGGGCTGGAGGCCCCCCCGATGCTTGTGCCACGGCTATGAACTCCCTTCCTGTTCACACGGGGCCCCATATCCCATACAAACTGAGAACAGGTGGCCACCCCTGCTGCCCTCTCTGTCCCCTGAGCCTGGTTCCTCCACTAGGGTCATATCTTTCCCCAAGGGGATTTCCCTGGAGGGGGGAGAGGGTGCGAGGGAGGGGGCGGAGGGGAGGAGGTGGGGGGTACAGGGAAGTTCCCGAAGTGGAACTCTTAGTGGTGGCAGGGCCCGTGACCTCATGCCCCTTCCTGTCCTCTTCCTCATTCCTCTTGGAGCTCCACCGGCCCAAGGGGGTGGGATGGGGGGGGCGGCTCTGGAGTCCTCACCACCACCACCGCGCTCCGAGGACCCCCACCTGTCATGGCTGCAGCCAGGCTGGGGTCCCGGCACCCCAGGCTTTCAGGCCTTTAGGTCCAGCAGGTCAGCCTGACCTAAGAGATCTGAAGCTTCCACCTGGCTCTGGGTGCGTTCACTCCCTGCGGGCGGTACCGAGGGGGAGAGGCACGCTGGCCCTTGTCCCCCCCGCCCCCGCCGCCCCCAGCCCCTGCCCCACAGACCTGCCCTGCGAGGCTCCAGCTGGCCTGGGACCAGGCACTGGGAGCCACATGGACCTGTGGGCCCAGCTCAGCTCAAGGGGAGGGGGGTTTCCTCCAGGCCCCTCCCTCCTTGCTCCCCACTGCTCCCTATCTCTTTGGTCTTAGCTTCCAGCCCAGTCCCATTGCCTCCTCTCCCTTGCACTGGAACTGGCTGAAAGGGCCCCCAGACCCCCAGACTCCACGTGTGGCTCCCTTGGGGCACCCCCCTCAGTTATATGGAATGGAGAGGACTCTGGTCCTTAGGGACTCTGCCCTTCCCAAATCACCTGGGCCAGGTGAACAGGTGTCCAGGTGAGCTAGGGCCATCTCTGCAGACAGACTGTGGGGCTCCTTTGACCACAGCTATGAGGTCAGTTCCAGAAATATAAGGTCAGTTCCCACTGGGCCCCATAGCTGGAGTTGAAAAGATTGTCAGGATCCCACACCCTACCCCCCACCCCCATCCTCAGAAGAAATGTGGGAGAGACCAAACCAGCTTATGGTCTCCTATTTACAGGTAAGGAAACTGAGGCACGAAAGAGCAAAGTGACTGGTCGTCCCCCATAGGCCGACTCCCCTTCAAAGCTCATGCTCATTGGTGAGAAGGGGGAGGAGGTGGCGTAGGGCTGGACTCACAGAGGGTTTGACACAGAGCCTGGGGAGACAGGATTTGCGAGAGCCCGGGAGGCTAAGGAAGCCACCACTGCCCATTCCTGCTCCCAAAATAAATCACTCCAAGCCATTTTAAAAATCAGTTTTATATTAAGCTATAAAAACTCAGACCCTGTCCTGAGTACATACATACAAAAGCGGTACTATCAAAAATAATATTAACAACATCAAATATACTAACTCCTACAGACGTAAAGTCCCTTGTACACCACTTACACAGGCCAGTTCCTGGCCACAGTACCTGGAAAGAGGGGACAAACCCAAGAGCCCTGGCCCCCGACCCCACCGCAGTGCGCTCAGATGCATGGGACTGAGTCCCGCAGGAGCCTGCCGGGCGCCCTCTCAAGCTCAGAGGCCTGGAAGTGTTCCTGAAGCCGCGTTTTCCTAGGGTAGGATGACGGACACTCCAGGGCCGGGGGTTGATGGAGGCCTTGTGGGGGGAACCTCAGGCCCCCCACCCCAGGAAGCCCACGTCCTAACACCTGGAACCTGTGAGTACATCAGGGTCCAAGGCGAAAGAGCCTGAGGTTGCAGGTGGATGAAGGTTACTCATCAGCTAACCTTAAAGTCGGGGCTGATCCCGGATGCCCTGGGTGGGCCAAAGGTAATCAAAAGGGCCTTCAAAAGTGGAAGAGGGGGGCCAGAGGGGAGGTCTGAGGTCTGTGATGTGAAAAGGATTCGTCTGGCCACTGCTGGCTTTGATGATGGAGGGAGCCATGGGCCAGGGAATCCAGGCAGCTTCCAAAACCTGGGAGAAGCAAGGAACCTCCCCGCAGAGCCTCCAGAAGGAACCAGCCCCACGGACACCTTGGTTTTAGCCCAGGAGACCTGTGTCGGACTTCTTCCAGAGCGGGAAGAGAAGTTCTGGTTTCAACTACCACATTTGTGGAAACGTGTTAGCAGCAATGGGACACTGAAACAGAAGCCAAGGGGTCAGAGGTCAAGCTTGCCCTGTCTAGACCTCAGGATGACTTCCAGGTGGAAGACCCAGGGTGTGCAGATTCCAAATAAGAGTTCGTTGTTGCTTTCTTCATTCCTTCCTAGTTCTGCCTTCGATCCCATGAACACGTTGAGCCCCACTCACTGCCTGGGTCAGAGGCGGCGGGATGGGCGGGCCCCTGTCCCCCGGCAGCTGGGAAGGCGCTCAGACCCAGCCACGGGGAGGGCAGTTAGGATAGACCGTGGCGGGCCCCGTGGACAGGAGGTAACTGGGGGGCTATACTCGGCCAGTCTCCCTCTTGGCCCCCTCCTCCAGTACATGTAGATCAACCGTCACTTACAGAGTTTCTTGGGGATTGCCTCATTGCCTCCGCAGGATGGGCCCTCCCGCCCCCTGGGACAGCTAAGTAACCTGGGTCAGTCCAATTCCAGTCTCCCAGGGGCGGTACCTCGGCTGAGGCTGGGTAGCAGCAGCAGCAGCAGTAGGCAGGAAGCCTGCTGAGGGCCATGAAGTCGGGTGGTTGCCCACCCGTGGGGTTGCGTCCGATGCTTGATGGGTGCTCACAAGGAGGCCAAGCCGCAGGAAAAGCTAACCGACCTTTATAAGTGAAAACAGGGGCTTGGAGGACTGCTGCATCCCCTCGCTGACGTCCAGGATGCTCCGGATGCTCTTGACCTCGTTGCTTGACAGGTTTCCCTTGATGGCCAAGATGGCATTCAGGTGGCCTTTGCTGGCAGGGAGAGCATCCTGTCAGTTCAGCCTCTAGCCTCATCACCCACAGCCCTACTCACGCCTCTCCCCAGTTCCCCAGACTCCTGGCCCCATCCACAGGGCCCTGCAGCCAAGCCCTGCCCATAAGGGGAGGTCTCATTCCCCTTTGGCCACTGTGCCCCAGCAGCACAGGTCACCTGTCCTTCCCTAGAGTGCACCAAACCCTTGTCCACCTCAGGTCTTTGTACTCCACACTCTTCAGGGCCTAGCTAAAATGTCACCTCTCCCAAGATTTCCCATCTCTCAGGTCAGCACCTCCTATCATTCAACAACCTTGGTTAAACAATCTTTACAGTTCATAAGTTTATTTCTTTATCTGACTACCTCATTATTACTACTTCATTAGGTGTGAGCTACGCGAGGGAGGACTAGACCTGGTCTGTCTTGAACTTCATTGCATCCCAGTACCTTGGACAGAGCCTGGCACTTAGCAGGAAACCACTCAATAATGGTAGGATGAGTGGATGGAAGATGGATGGGTAGATGGATGAGTGGATGGGAAGTGAGCAGGTGGGTGGATGGGTAGATGGATGAATGGATGAATGGGCAGATAGATGGATGGATGAATAGGTGGGTGAATGGATGAATGAGTGGGTGGATGGGTAGGTGAGTAGATGGGTATTTATATGGGTGGGTGGACGGATGGATAGGTGGATGAATGGATGGATAGATTGGTGGGTGGGTAGATGGATGGGTGGATAGATGAATGAATGGATGGGTAGACCGGTGGATGAATAGGTAGGTGAATAGATGGAGGAATGAATGGCTAGACGGGGAGATAGATATTTGAATAGATAGGTGGAAGGGTGGGTGAGCAGATGGATGGCTAGCTACATGGATGGAGAGATGAGTAGATGAGTAGATGGGTGTTTGTATGGGTGGATGGATGAATGGGTGAGTGTGTAGACAAGGAGAGAGGCAGGTAGACCGATGGAGTGGATCAGCCACAGGCTAGACTGGGCTAGACTAGGTTAAGCAACCCGATTCCAGTCTGTTCACACTTTCCCTACCATGTCAGAAGACTCAGCCTAGAGAAACAACTGCCCTAGCTCATCAGATCCTCAGACAGCTGGGGGCTAAGCCTCCACGGCTTCTAGCAGGTCCCTATCTCTCTGGTCTTAGCTTCCTCTCTAAGGGGCAATATCATATAAGGCTAAAAGTGTGGCCTGTGGGGACAGGCTACCTGGCTTTGCCATCTTGGCTTTACCACTGGCTAGATGGGTCACCTTAGACAAGTCCCTTAAGTTCTCCAGGCCTCATCTGCAAAATGGGGGTGAAAAGCATCAGCTTTATAAGGTTGTAGTGAGGTTCAAGGGCATGAGCCACTGTAAAAACCTTAGCACAGCGCCCGACACGTGGTCAGCACTCAGCAAAGGTTAGCTGCTGGGCCTGCATCATCGTGGTCAGTAACTGAGCTCTACTAGTCCCGAAGTCCTGGGTCCAGCCCCATCAGGCTCTGGCCAGCTCCAGCGGGGCCATGCGGACGGAATGCCCAGTTCTGCGGTGCCCTCATTCTCACCTGAAGTCGGGGTACCGGGTGGCGTAAGTGGCCACCTCAATCTTGATGGCACTGGGGTCTTGCAGGCGAATGATCTCAGCGAGCGTGGGGAGGGCGTGGTGCAACCAGGTCGCTGACGAGCCCTGCAGGCACAGGTCTGGTTGGAGGCAGGCCGCCCCTTCCCCGTAGGGCGCCGGAGGGCCCAGAGAAGTTCAGATCAGAACCCATTGGGTTTGGAGAGGCCCAGAGGCGGCCCTGGCGCCCGCAGGGCTTGGGAGGGGGAGGCAGGAGCTTACGTTCTGAGTGCAGAAGCGCTGGATGACCTCAGCGTTGGCCAGGATGTGTTCGGCCAGCTGCCGCTGCTGCTCCACCACCTTGAGGACCAGGCTCCGCTTGCTGAGGCGGATGATGTACTCCTTCACCAGGTGCAGGTGCACCACCTCCATGAGCTCCTGTGAGGGCAAGCAGGCAGGGGTGTGGGGGCCGTCGCTGACGGGGAGCTCACCACCTTCCCTCGAAGCCAGGAGTCCAGGGAGGGGCGGATGCCAAGCAAACAAGTGCATACGTGTGCTTGTGTGGGTACATGTGCGTGTGTTTACAGGTATGTGCATGCACACTCGTTAAGGTGTGTGTCTGGACCGTGCCCACCCTCCCCGCTGCCCAACAGGCCCAGCCACAGCCCAGCACCTCCTCACCTTCTGGAAACAGTCGTGGAGCTCGGAGAACTCAGGCAGCCTTTCGCCCACGGTGGAGATGATGTCCCCCAGGGTCTGCGCCGGGGCCGCCCAGCGGGTCTGTGTGAACCTCTTGAACAGCGGCTGTGACGGCAGAGAAACGGGATGTGGTCACACCTGCAGAGGAAGGCCAGCCAGCCCCCGACGCACGCACACCCGCACGCACGGCCCAGCGCAGGGCCAGGAGGGGCCTCCAGGACCCCCAGGGCACCCGGGCAGAACTTGGGTCCTGTTCGCAGACAGGAAGAGGAGACAGGGGCCATGAACCCTTCTCCAAGGTCAAGCAGCTGCAGCTCTAGAGCTGGGCGGGCCATCTGCCTGCCTCCAGGCCTTTTCCACCGCTCCCTCCGAAATAAATAAATTCCTGCATAAACAAAGACTTGAGCTTGGCTGGGGCTGTGAGGACCTGTGCCAAGTTGTCCAGGGTCACCGCCCGGCCTTCACCCCCGGCTGGCTACCCACTGCCTTCCGCCTTGGGCAGGAGGGCCACGGTGGGTTCCCATGGCGGCAGGCAGGGAACCCCTGCTCTTTTTTCCCAGGGCCCCTGCCTCACCCTCTGCCCAGGGAGCCAAGGGGTTTCCGTAGACTTCGTGGCCACAGCAGAGGTGGCGGTGCTGCCAAGGGCTCTGAGCGCCCAGCTGGGCGTGAGGCATGGGGGCAGGGCGCAGGCAGGAGGGTCTGGGGGCGCTGGAGTAAAAACGGCCTCAGGACAGGGCTGAGTCTCGGGTGGTGGGGGGCACTAAAGCTTCCCTGTGTATTGCAGCCTGGGGACTCCTCTGAGGCCAAGTCCAGGCTGAAGTTGCAGGTCAGTCAAAAGGCCTCCAGGGCCTCGATCCCTGAGGCGACACACATCCAGGTCCCTGCTTAGGCCATTCCTCCCTCCCATCCCTGTGCCCCCCCAGCGCTAAGCTCAGCATGCACCCCGGGAGGCGGGCTCCAGCTACCTTCAGGTCTCCAAACAGGCTCTGGAGCAGGGTGTCAAAGCCGTGACTCTTGAGGTCACTCAGGGGGCCCATCAGGTGGCCCGGGAGGTCTTGCAGTATCTGCCACTTCTGCTCCATGGCGGTGCTAGAAGGACACCGAAGGAGGTAGGGAGGTCACCCCAGCCCTGTCCAGACTACAGCGCCCTACCCAGAGAGCCCATGGGCCCTAGGCCCACTTCCTAAACCTAGAACCCCCTAGAACTCCCCATCCCCTGCAGAAGCAAGTCCAGGTCACCCCATCCCTGCTCCCTAGGCAGCACCGAGCCGCCTCATCCCAGAGAACGCCTGCACGACCTGCTCTTAATCCACATCTAGACATAAGCACCGCACCCACTACATACGGGCGTTTTGAGAAGAAGATAAGGAATAAATCCTTTATGCGAATGCTTGACCCACCGGCACCTGACGTTTGCTGCTGCCGCCTGGGCAATCTCCTCCCTGGCCATGCTCCTTGTAATTCCACATCTTTGCTTATGCCTCCCGCCTCCCTCTGCACCCCGTGCTGCCCCTCCCCGCCCTTCCCCTCCGCTCCTCTCCAGTGGTCCGCTTCCTCCAACAGACTGGCAGGCCCCGTGATTCCCACTCCCACAGACCCCTCCTCGGGCCCTTACCGGAAGGACAGGCAGTTGTTGATGTTGGCCATGACATTGGCCCTGTAATTTCTCAACTGTTTGCATCTCTCCAGAAATTCATCAAAGGCTCGCTGGTAGCTGGTGAAACCGGAAAGGGCACTTGCAGGACCAGCACAAACAGGCACAATAGCAGCCTCCGGCCTGCCCACAGGCCCTCCTGGGTTGGCAGAGTGCTTTTCCGACAGGCTCCCTACAGCCCAGGGAGGGCTGCTAGCCTCTAAGCATCATGTAACTGGCTTCCCACCCTCAGGCCAGTGAGGCCAAGGCTCCTGCAGAGCTCCTGCTGCCCCCACTCCTTCCCAGGTCCTTTTGTAGCTGGAGGGCAGCGTGTGTCGGGGGGGGGGGGCATTGGTGTTGAGAGGATGGGGAGGCAAACTGGTAGATGAAGGAATCCTCGGAGGTGGGGAGGGAGGCAGCCAAGAGAGATGCGGGGCTGGAGGCCCAGGGTACCAGCAGAAGGGAGGCCAAGGCCTCAGTCCCTCATGGGGCATCCTCTTTGCAGCTGGAGGCTGCAGTGCTAAGAGCTTCTTGACGAGTGGTCAGATCACCTGAGGCTCTCAGGGCTCAGGTGGGAGGTTCAGAGGCAAGAACTCCTGCTCTTAATGGGAGACACACCAGAGGCAGGAAGGGGACCCTGATCTAGCTTGGATACCCACGTGGGACACAGGCAGGGGAGGGGGCCCTGAGAGAAGTGGCTTCCACCCCCAGCCCCATACACAAGCAGGAGCACACCCACCTCCTCAGGAACGCAGCTAGTTCCAGCAGCAGCACGTTCTTTATCTGCACACCCAGGTCAAGGGTGATGCTCTCAGCCTTGGCCTGGCCCTGGGAGATGATCTGCAGGGGTGAGGGCTGAGCTGAGCAAGAGACCACCCAGACTAAGATGGCAGAGGGGGAAGGTGACATGCTGGCACAAGGGGTGGGTAGTGCTCGGAGTGGGCACGTGTTTGCACACACACAGGGACCAGACAGGAGTGGGCTCTGCATGCCACACAGCATGCCACACAGCTTGTAGGAGAGCACGAGGGGCGGGCTGTGTCACCTGGATGATGTCGATGGCCAGCTCGCTGTGGTAGTGGCTGTCCAGCCTCTGGGGAGCCACATCCCGGGCCCAGCGCTGTGACTCCAGTTCCAGGGCACGGGTCATCAGCTCCTTCACACTGGCCTGGGGGGAGGAGAGGCAGGGCAGGGTAGCACAGAGCCCATCACCCTGCCCACGTGGAAGTCCCTGTCAAGCTCTTTGCCTGTGTCCTGTCCCGTCTTTGCGCCTCCCCTAGTTTCCTTCCTGTCCCTCCCTTGCCCTGGCCCTGGCGCTGACTCACCACCTCGTTGGACAGGAACGTGGCCTCCAGCAGCCGGATCTGCCTGGGGGGCAGAAGGCTCCCAAGCTGCACTCTCTGCAGGTCTCCTGCCAGCTTGGGGCTGTTGATGATGTCACTGTGGGCAGAGGGGGGCCCGCATGAGGAAGACTGCACCCACTTAGCACCATGGCTCACGCTGAGCTTCTCAGTGTCAGCCTCAGCCTCTGGCCGGCCTCGAGCTCAATCCCCCCACTCCCACCCCTGCCTCTTCAATTCAGATGATGGGTCCCCTACCCGCTCAGACTGGTTCAGGTCAGAAACTGTGGAATCTTCCTGCGTGCGTGGACTCTCTCCTCCCTCTCCCTCCTCCCCATCCACTTCTGCTCCGGAATAGATCCCCCTGAGCAGATCAGCCTCCAGCCACCCCGCCTGATGCCCCAGCCACGCCACCTCGAGCCTGGCTCATTGCAGGGGCCTGCCGTGCAGCCTCCTTGTCCCCAGCAATGCCTCCTCCGCCCCTCCCTGCCACAGGGCCTCGATTCCACACAGATAAAAGCCTGCTCCTCTGGCAGCAGCCGTGAGACCCCTCCCTACCTGACTCCCTCTGTGCACTCCCGGCCTGCCGGACCGGGCACCCTGCCAGCCCCGTCCCACCACCCCAGGCCGCCCGGCTGCCCCCCGAGGATGGGCCAGTCCAGGCAGGAAGGGCTGCCCCACCCCAGCCACTCCACTCACTCCCCTGGCGCCTCTGCGGGATCCTGGAGCCCCAGGGACCGACCGGCCCTGGCACTTCCTCAGGGGCCTTTGTCTTCCTGGACACTCAGGAATGGCCCTCTCACCGTCTCCCAGCCTGGATGTGGCTGTCCCTTCGCTCCCTGTACTCTGGCCACTCTGGTCACACAGCCTCCACAGCACCACCCCGGACTCACTCCCCGCAGAGACCTGCCGTGCCAGCCTCAGTTCCCTGCTGTGCCGACCCCAGTGGGCCCCAGGCCAAAAGCCTGGAGGTCACTGGGACAGGAAGGCTGAGGTGCAAGCGCCTAGTATTTCCTGGTGAGTCAGGAGAAACTGGCTCACGACTGGCCTGCCTAGCCCGCAGCCCCTGCCCTCTGCCGGTTTCCCTACGCCCCGCTGACTCACCCACCACCCCAACAGGGCCCTCCCTCCGGCCCCCCACTGGAGGCTGACACACCAGCAGCAGCTGACACCACTGGCCACCCAGACGTGCCCCCGAGACCCTCAGGCACTGCTCACACGTCTGTACCTCCAGGCTTCCTGCAGGCTTTACACTGGGGGGCCAGGATGCCCTATTGGAACCCAGGCCCCTGGGGCCCTGGCCATTTCCACCCAGCACTGTCTGTCCTCACCCAGCTCGTCTAGTGACAGATGTGCTCCGGGCCCCAGGGAGTCTGGGTAAATCGGAGGGAACCGGAGGCACTCTGTGTACAGAGCCAGCCTCCCACCCAAGGAGCTCTGGGCCTCGGGGGCCAGAATCCAGCTCTGCGGTGGCCTCACCGGGTGACCCTACACAATGGCCATATGGCCCGGCTCGGCCTCTGTTGTCTGTGCTGCCTGGGGGTGCCCCGGAGCCTGCCAGGTAGATCCGAACACTGGCCAGCGCCGCACAACTCCCAGGAGGGCCATGGAAGAGGACTCCCTGGGTGGGGATCACCACCCTCCCTCCACCTTCTTGGGGGCCTGCCCTCTCCCCTCCCCTCCCGACTCTTCCAGCAGCCGGGCCGAATTCGGTTCCTCCTCCTGTCCTTCCTCCTCCTCCGCCACCTCAGGGACGGCTTCCTCAAGGGACTGGGGCCGGTCACCCACGGCCGGTCTCCTCTGCCAGCGCCCTCCCGGCTCCGCGCGGTCACCGCTCAGGTAGGAGCGATGAAGTCTCTCTGCCTCGGTTTCCCCGGCTGGGCCACGTGGCACGTGGCGGAAGCCACTGTGTCCGGGGCTCCAAGCGCCCGCCCCCCGCGCGCCCTGGCTCCTCGGAGGCCCTCGGGCCGGGGTTAGAGACTCGGGGGCACCGACCCGAGGCCCGCCGCCCGCCGCGCGCCCACTCACTTGGGGTACAGGTTCTGCACCCAGAGCAGCAGCATGTAGGTGTCGCGCTCGCACAGCTCGAACTGCGCCACGGCGGCCAGCTGGGCCGCGAAGTGCTCGTGGTAGCTCTCGGCGTAGGCGGCCACCACGTCCAGGTCGGCGGGGAACAGCGGCTTCAGCCGCTCCACCACGGCCTCCAGGTCCTCCTTCATGGTGCGGCCCATGTGCAGGAAGGCGCGCTCCGCCTCCGAGCGGCCCTCGGCGTCCGCGGCCGGCCGCGCGCCCAGACGCTCCTGCGCCGCCTGCGCCACCGCGCGCCGCCACAGCTGCAGCCAGCGCCGCGGCCGCGCGGCCACCAGCGCCGAGCCCCCGGGCGCCCCCGCCCCCGCCGCCGCCGCCGCCGCCCGCCGGTCCTCGCGCTCCTGCTCCGCCAGCACCTGCAGCGCCTGGCGCAGCCGCTCGGGCGCCACGTCGAGCGGCCGCCGCAGCACGCCGAGCACCTGCTCGCGCAGCAGCACGTACAGCGCCTCCACCTTGCTCTGGCGCCGCACCAGCTCCTCCGCGCTCTCGCCGCCCGCCGCCGCCGCCGCCGCCAGCTCCCGCTCCAGCGCCAGCAGCGGCCGCGCCGCCTCCAGCCGCCCGCGCTCCAGCTCCGCCTTGAGCTCCTCCGCTGCGGGGGGGACCCGGTGAGCGCCGCCGCCCGCCCGCAGGGCGCCCCCCCCCGCCAGCCCCTCCTCCCGCCTTCCCTGGGCCCCTGGGAGCCCCGCAGGCCCCGCCAGCCCGGATCCCGGGTCCCCACCCCGCGGGGGGGGGGGGGTCAGCCTACCTGTGGGCAGCGGGCCGCTCGGCTCGGGCTGGGCCCCGGGGTCGCCCTCTGGCTCCGCCGAGCCGGGCTGGCCCTTCTTCTTCCTCCCTTTGGTGAACACGCTGAGCACGCTGGCCAGGCCTTTGGACTTCTTCTTCTTCTTCTTCTTCAGAGCCTCTTCCTTGTCCCTGTCTGGGGCTCCCGCGGCCTCCAGGGGTGGCACCAGGTCTTCCGAAGACGCCTCCGACATGGAGGCCTCTGACTCCACCTCGGAGGTGGAGGGCAACTTCTGGGAGCTTCCCGGCAGGTCAGGACCCCCTGACGCAGTGTGCTGGCCTGGAAGGCCTTGGAAGAAAGTCATCATCTTCAGCATCACCCGGCTCAGGCCTGCAGATGGGCAGGGCGGAGGGGGCATGAAAGAGCACTCGCTGCTCGCCGCAGCTCCCAGGCCCAAGCGCACGGCACGGCGGTGGCAGCAGCAATGAGCTCCATCGATCTAGTCTCACCACGCCCTCAGGGCCTGGCCATCTCCTGGCCCAGAGGGGCACCAACAACGTGGCTGCTTCCCCGGACACCAGTTTCTCAGCGCCCACAATTCCTCTTCCAATACCCCCAGCCCCTTCCCCAAATCGCCAGAAGCAGGGAAGAATCTGGAGATGCCAAGTCTCCCAGATGGAGGAGGCCTTCACTTCATTGTGGCAAATCCATCCTCGGCAGCCCACCCTCTGGGCAAGGAGAAAGGACTGGAGAGCACCCGGCATCCCATTAGACCCCGGGAGAGGTGTCAGAGACAGGACCCCGGCACAGAGCAAGAATTGAGGTTCAGGAAGGTCACAGCACCCGAGGCTGCTCCGTCCTCCCCGCCCTCATCCTCTATCTTGCCTGGTTCATCTCTTGTCTTGTCTCCGTGGAGCCAGAGAGGGATGCTGTGAGCAGAAACATGCCTGCTCCTGCTGGGACCAGCTCCCTACCCTGGCCTTGGGGCTCAGGTCTAGAAATCATAGTGCCCTCTCAAAGTTCAAGGGCTGAGAAAGGACCCTGAAGAGACTTTCACATGTCAGCAGGGGCAAGGGGCCCAATGAGGCACCCAGCTGCCTGAGGTCACGGGGTAACTCAGACCCGGACCAGGCTTCCTGGCTCCCACTTCACCCTGCTGCTCCCAAATGGGGTGACATCATCATCACAAAGGCTTCCACTTTCCGAGCCCTCCCCGGGTGCCCATCCCTCCCATCTCTCTCTTATTTCCTTTAAGGAAGAGTATTATTATCCTCGTTACGCAAAACTGCCCCAGGGAAATGTCCCTATGGTGACAGTTTAGGCTTGAAACTCAGACCCACCCGGTGCTGGGTCCTCCTGCCTGCATGTCCCCCCACCACCTCATAGGCTGCATTCAGAGAGGTGGGACCACCTTGTGCCCAGCAGCACCCTCCCCAGCACCATGGCCATTATCAAAGCAAGGCCAGGACCAGTGAAGGGGAACATGGCTGAGCCCAGCAGAGGGGAGCATATAGGGCCAGGCCTCCCTGATGTCTGGGGCCATCCACGACCATAGTGCCTGCCCTCCACCATCCAAGAGTAAATACAGTGAGTTGTGACTCATGCAACACAATGACTTTGATTCACTTCTGCAACAGCCTTGCGAGGCACATGGAATGACCCATCATCCAGGAGAAATTGAGGCGGAGAGGGTGGCTGGGAGGTGCTTGCCCCAAACACAAAGCAGGCGTGGATTAGGACTGTCAGACATTTTCCACAGCCCCTACTATCTACCCCTGCCCCCAGTCCAACTGTCCTGGGCCTCATCACAATCCCTGAGTTTGGCCAGAGCCACTTGGGGGCAGGAAGCCTGAAGTTTCTCCTAAACGGCTTCACCACGTGCCCTCTGCAGAGTCCAACACTGCTGGAACTCAGTCACCTCTCTCGTGTCGTTTGGGCTGAGTTCCACTCTAGGACCAAGTCACGGGTGCTCTGGGGAGCCCCAAAGCCAAAGTGCAAGGCTTCTAGGCTCTCTGCCCCAGCTCCCACTCTTCACCCATCGTGTTGTTGAACCACGCACCCACAGGAGCTGGTCTGGCCAGCTGGCTGGGGCTACTCAGCACCACCCTGACTGCCCAGGGCGCCCCCTCCACCTCCATCCTCCAGCCAGGGTGAGGGAGAAGGCCACCCTGACCCACCAGCCTCACCTCTGCCCTCACTGTCCCACACCTCCTTGCTCCTTACATGTGCTAGGCTCTATCTGACCTCCTGCAGGTCCCCACATAACATCGCTGTCTCCTTGCCTCCCTGGTACAAAATCCTCCTCACCCTTTCAGGTCCTGCAGTGGCCCCATTTGGCTCCATCCCAGTCCTTGATTTTCAGAGGTAGCTGGTGCAGTGGAAAGAGAAGTGGCAGGGGGCGAGGGTCAGCTGGACCACTCACTAGAGTGTGGACAATAGCTCCTACCTCAATCTGTGAAACGGGCATGAGGACCCCCACCCCACCTGCTGCTGACAGGAAGCGGCAAAACCCCAAAGCCACATGCTGGCCCCAAGCCAGCCTTCGTAAGGACACATGTCCTGAGTCCATGTGTCTGTCAAGCCAACCTCAGCTTTGGGGTAGAGCAGAAGAGGAAAGGAAAGGGATTCCTCTAGGCTGGGCTCCAGCCTGGACACACTGACTCAAGGGGCCTGCTCAGCAATATTGTGTGACTACAGCCTGTGGCCCCGCAGTGGCACCCTCTCCTCGGGCACCGCACACCCCTTCCACTCCTTCCTGGGTCAGGGCTGAGGTTCACAAAGCCTCCCATGGCCTCTTCGCCTGGCTCCGGGTCCCAGCAAGAAAGGGAGGGCATAGCCATCCCTCCATGCAGGCGAAGTCACAAGGCCTAGGTCACAGCAGCCAGCCAGCCCCCACCCCCCACCCCCCCAGGCAGACTCCTGCAAAAGGAGCAGAGGCCCCTGAGCCTTTCCCCACACCCCTCCCTCCCTGCCCTTCGCAGGACCCAGCCTTTTGCTGGCAGAACCAAACCCGAGTCCCCCAGCCAGCGCAGGAGCCTCAGTTTCCCTACAAGTGGGGCTGCCAGAGGCCTGGGGCCCTCGGAGGGGTCGCTCCCGGGTCGGGCGGCGGCGGCTCCGTCGGGGGAGCGGGCCGGGACTCGGGCGCAGGCGGGCGAGCGGGCGGCGGAGCGGCGGGGCCAGACGCTGTGCGGGCGGAGGTCACTTACTGTGTCCGGGCCGGGGCGCCGCTGTCCCCGCGGAGCCGGGCGCCGCCTTAAATAGCCCTCGGCCCCGCCTCCCGCCCCGCCCCGCCCGCCGCAGCCCTGGAAAACCCGCGGGCCCAGGCCAAGGCCGCGGCGGGGGCTGCCGGTGGCCCCGAACCCGGACCGAGGGGGGCGGGGGGCGGCGTCACACCTTCCCAGCGGGGGCGGGGCGGCCAGGCTGGCCCAGCGTCGCCGCGGTCCCTGGGGCGCCGGGGAGCTCCGGCCCTTGGGCTCAGCCTGCCGCTGGCCCATTGTGCGACGGCGGCTTCTGATTGGCCGCGGGGCTCCGCGCCCCCGACCCCAACCCCGCGGCTCGGCGCGGCACCCGCCAAGCCCGGGGGTCCCGGGGGGTGCACCCCAGCGCTCTGGGCCGCGCCGCTCCCTCGGGGCAGAGGACACCGGCGGCCTCCGGGGCAGAGCGCTCCCTCCCTGGACGCCGGGGTGGCCCCCAGGGCAGAGAGCTCCCTCTCTGGACGCCGGGGTGGCCCCCAGGGCAGAGCGCTCCCTCCCTGGACGCCGGGGTGGCCACAGGAGCCAGGGAAGCAGCCCTGCCCGAGGTCGCACCCTGGGCGCACGGTGCCGCAGGGATGCCAGCCATCCACCAGGAGCAGTCTGCTGGGTGCCCAGCACTCGCTCTCATTAGCAAGCCTTGCTTGAAAGGGTAAAATGATTCAGAAAGGCGAAGGGACCTACAGGTGGCCCGAGGTCCAACCCCCTGTTGCGCACCTCCCACTGGAGCACTTTCCCTTTCTGGGACTGGGGTTGGGCTGGGACAGGCTTCAGGGCACCAGGCTCAGACCCCAACAGCTCAGGCTTGGTCATCAGATCAGGGGCCTCGGCCTTCCTCAGGGGGTCCTGTTTCTCTGGGGTAGGGGTGCTATTGCTGGTGAAGAGCAACCATTAGGGACTCACCTCCTGCACTATTTCTCATTTTAGGAATTCTTGCCCTCTGGAAAAAACCCTGTCATTAAGGAATTTCCCAGCTGGGCACCAGCTTCCCTTTTATTTATTGCTAGAGCCCCTGCTCCTCCCACCCCTTTGTTCGCCCCTACCCTGTTCTCTCCCTCCCTGTGGATTCCCTGCTCCCCCTATCAGCTGGGCACAGATCTCTGAGGCCTGAGAGTGGGGCAGGCAAAGCTGGGGGTGCCCCCCTGGGACCGAGAACTTCCTCTTCCTCCTTGCGAGTGGTGGTCAAGTGCCAGCTTTGGCCTCAGCCACAGATCCTGTCCTGGGGGTTGTGGGGGCGCTGCTTGTGAGGAGGAGACAGACTTCACAAAGTGGCTGTAACGGGGACTCCCACTGAATTTCCTTGAGTCCTTGGGGGAGGGGTTGCCAGGTGACAGTTTCAGATGAACTAACAGAGCCACAGTGCCCCAGGGCTGGGAGGGTTATTCCATTTACTCCCTGGTGAACAGATGGGGAGACTAAAGGCCAGATCCCAAGTTCATCCAGTCACATAGGGGCCATGAGGATGGGAAGCAAGGGTTCCTGGCTCATTGCCTCTGTAGCTGCCTGCTGTGGCCTCATTGTGCAATCCCCACACTTCGCTGCCAGGCCGCCTCGCCTAACCCCAAACAGATTGGGAAATCTCTGGAGAATCTGAAGCTTTGTGAGTCATGGGGCCGGGGTGTGTGGTTGTCAGGGCTGCAGATCCCACCATCCCCTCGGAGCCCGGGATCCTGATAGCAGAGGCAGGAAGGACACTTCGACAGGGCAAATGCTGGGCAGCCAACCTTGACCCCCGATGCCCAAGCTGCCTAAGCACCATCTCCATGGCGTTACCCTGAGCAGCTGCCAGGAGTTGGGAAAAGCTGCCTTCTCCTTTGTGGTTGTACCGGTCACTTCCCCTTTCCCTGAATTAAAATAGGAGACTCAAGGGTCATCTACATGGAGACCCCAACACAAGGGAAACCCTCTGAAAACAGGGCTGCATATAGGGCCAAGGGATGATGGTCAGTGGGGCAGGCCCTATCCTTTCCCCCTAGTGATAGATGAGAAAACTGTCCCCAAGAGGCCAGACCTTTGCAGAGGGAGCCAAAGGCCAGCCAAGAATTCCACCCCCAACAGGAAATGAGCATCAGATGCCTGTTGGGAGTGTTCCTGGCCAGCTGCTGTCCCATTTGCTGCCTCCCCAGGGGATGGGCAGGGGAGAGCAGGCCAGCTCCACCTAGAAGAGAGGACAGGAGGCAGAAGCCCACTGGCAATCGACCTCCCCAGGCCAGCCCAGAAGTCAAGTGTGCCGGCCGGGTGCCGGGAGCAGTGGCCAGCTCCCCACTGTGACCCGGGGCCGCAGAAGCCCAGGACACATGTGAGCTGGCCTCCCTTCCCTCTGCTCAGGAATGACAGCTGGCTGGCTTTTTGTGATAAAATACACAGAACCGAATTTACCATATTGACCATTTTAAGCATACGATTCAGTGACGTTTACGTTATTATACAACCGTCCCCACCATCCATCTCCAGACATTTCTCATCTTGCAAGAATGAAACTCCGAACATATGAAACGCTGATTTCCCTTTCCTTCTTCCCCGAGTGCCGCCAATCACTGTTCTACTTTCTCCGTATAAATTTGACTAAGCAGCTCATAGAACTGGAATCATAACAGTCCTAGTCCTTCTGTGACTGGCTTGTTTCCCTCAGCACGATGCCCCTAGGTTCATCCGTGTTACAGCATGTGTCAGGCTCTCTTCAATATTTCATCCTTTATCTGCTCATTTGTCAGTGGATCCTTGGGTTGCAGCCACCCCTTGGCTATTGTGAATAATGCCGCTTTGAACCCAGGTGAGCAAATAATCTTTTTTTAAAATTTTTATTTATTCACGAGAGATGCAGACACACAGGCAGAGGGAGAAGCAGGCTCCCTTCAGGGAACCCAATGCGGGACTCGATCCCGGGACCCCGGATCACGCCCTGAGCTGAAGGCAGACACCCAACCACTGGGCCACCCGGGGGTCTCGATCAAATAATCTCTTTTAAGACCATACTTTCGATCTTGGGGGTAGACAGTTGACTTTCCATTCACCTCCGCAGGTGCCACCCTCTGTTCTAAGCGCTTTGCATGCGTTAACTGATTTTATCAGGCAATTTCAGGAAATGGATGCCTCTCTTCACAGATGAGGAAACCAAGGCACAGACAGGTCCAGTCACGTGCCAGTCCGCAGTGGAGCTCAGGGCGCCAGCAGCAAGCATTGCGCGGTATCGCTTCTCCCCCAGGGTTGATCAATGTGTGGGATGCAGCTTGATGTGTTTAAGTCAGACACGGGTGAAGACCGCCAGCCAGCCAGCACAGATGCAAAAATGGAAGGTTTTACTGCTCTCCGCTTGTTTTTCATCTTTCAGAAAAAAAATTCCACATCTCTTCCATGACCTTGTTGGGTCAATTGAATCTTCACCTTCACCTGGGAAGTAGGTGGGGCCAAGTCGACCTTGATAGCCCAGCCAGGTTGGGCTGTGTGTGTGTGTGTGTGTGTGTGTGACTGGTGGTCCTCCCTCTCCTCAGCCTCTGAGCTGCCTGAGAGCCTTGCTGGAAAAAAGCTCCCCAAAAGAAGCAGGACAATGCAGGCAGGAGGAAGATGCCGTTTGGTGCAGGGGTCAGCAGGTGCAAAGGCCCAGGGGCAGATTGGACGGGAATGAAGGGGCTGTGGGACACTGGGCCCGGCTACCCCAGGAGGACCTGGCCAGGGTGCCTGGGTCAAAAGGGCAGTGTTGACCATGGTGGAGGGTCCCCAGGGCTGGGAGATGAGGGCATTCCAGGATGTCACTGAGCCCTTCCCCCACGGCATAGGCACACTTCCCTCTCAGAGATGACTTGCACTTCCCACTGCCCTAACCCCAGCCTGCTTCGTCCTTTACTTCCCAGGCTGTCACCTGACCTGGGATCCCTCCTAGGGCCTCTTTGTTTCCTGGGGATGCCCCACTCACCAACTACACTAGGCAGAGCCATTGTATCCCCTGTTGACGATGAGGAAACTGAGTCTCAGAGTGGTAAGTGGACACAAAGTTTGAGGTCTTGAGGCTGTGGTCCTTGATGCCACCCAGCCTTCCCCAATAGGGGAAGTCACTTGCTCAGGTGCATTTGAAGCTGTGCCGGACCTCAGCTGGGGTCTGGTGACCACCCCAGGGACCACGGGATGGCCAGGACAGCTGACCTGGAACCTCCCTTACAGGGCATCCCCGCCCACAAGGGCGCTCACCAGACCAAGTGTATACCAACAGATTGTGCCCCTCCCATCACCCAGGAAGTTCCTCCCTTTCCCCTAAAGAGGAAGCCAGGCCAAAGAATTCTTTTTGCATCTGGCAGATGGAGAAACTGAGGTGAGGGTATGTGGCTTTTGCAGGTGTCCTGGCATCCTTCCAGTAAGTGCAGTGCGGGTGGTGATGCAAGGCGGCTACGTTCAGTTCCTGTCTCTTCAGGCCCGGGGCCCTTCTCTTAGCTCGCTTATTTCCAGGAAAACAGCCAAGGGGCCTTGCTCCCCATCAGCACCCACCTAATGACAGAGGTGAGTCACCGGCAGGAGCTCCCTGGGAATCCCAGCATTGCTGGAGCCCCACCAGGCCAGGAGCAGTGGAGGGCTGCCCCAAACCCCCAAGCCCCCTCAGGGCCTGGGTGTTGGGAACTCCTCCTCCTCCAACAAAGCCAGGGAGGACACCCAGGAGCTCTGGGCTTCTGAACTTTGGAGAAGGGAGGCATGACGGTGGGGGCTTAGGCATGAAGACCATCTGACCCCCGGGGAGCTCCGTCACCAACATCTGTGTCTTTAGACACCAGGCTCTATGCCTCGGGCCTCGGTCTTCCCTCCTGGAAATGGAGGTGACACGTGCTCGGGAGGTTGCCAGGAAAGGATCGCAGGACATGGTCCATGTAAATAAAAATAATGCTCCTCTTGGGGGAGTGCGGAACTGCAGGCCAGGCCCTCATCCAGCGCCACATTTGTATTTTCTCACGTAATGCTCCCAATTTTACACCTAGAGATAGAGCCCAGAGAGGTGGAGTAACTTGACCAAAGTCACACAGCTATGAAGAAGGTGCAGAGCTGGGGTCCCAGCCCAGAGGTGTCTGAATCTAGACGCTGACTTTTAAACCCCTGCACAGAATCCACGGGAAGGAGGAAAGCCTTAAATCACTGAGCACAGCCAGGCACATGGATGCTGGTGGTGGGGGGTGCTCCAGAAAGGGCAGGACTTTTCAGGACATTCCTCTTTTCCAAGATCCTGAGATTTCATTACTTGAGGGTTCTCTCAATCTGAGCCCTGGGGCTCTGTGGGGCTGGCCCCTGTCAACAGCGTCCTTGGCCCCCCAGACCTCTGCTTCACATGGCCTGGCTGGGGAAGGGCTCCTCCAGCCCACTGAGTTCCTAAAGGGACCTTGTGGTGGCAAAGGCAGGCAGTGACGATCTGGGGATGGAGGGGGACCCTGGTCCTACTGTGGCCTCCTCTCCCCTCTCCTCTCTGCCTCACCCCTGCAGTGGTGGGAGCCTGCAAGGACCACTTCCTGGCCGATGAGAGTGCTGCCCCCATGTCCAGGGGCCCCATGAGGTGGGGGCCCAGGAAGGAAGGAAGAGGGAGAGACGGCGCAGGCAGGGAGATGACAAGCTGATGCACTCGCAGCGTAGCCCCGCGCCAGGATCAGGGACGGTCTCGTTTACCCCATGCTGCAGATGCTGCAGAGGCGGAGATGGGGCCTCTGAGTGGAAAGGTCCCTGGGTCTTCAGCGAGAGGAGGGCAGGGCTGAGACCAGAACACCCTCCTCCCCAGTGTGGCTGGTGGGCTTGTACAGCACGACACTCCCCAGGGGAGCTGGGCCCGGGCACCAGGGGACCTGCAAGGAGAGGTGCCCACAGAAGGTGCAAGTCCCAGGCTGAGCTGGGACTAGGTTCCTGGGTGACTTTCAAGTCCCCTGTTACCCCAGGATTGTCCTTGGGTTGGCAGAAGGACTGGCAAGCTGTGGCTCATCGTGTCCTTGGACCTGAGCACTCTGCCTTGGGCAGGGTGCCCCTCTGTGCTTTGTCACTGTCCTCTCCAGGGTGGGCTGGGGTCCCAAAAACTGCTCAAAGCGGGCCTTGTCTTTTTCCACAGGCTCGGTGCCAGAGACCAGATGCAACCCCCAATCCACGAAGGAGCCCCAGGAAGCGTGGGCATTGAAAGAAGCCAAGCTGAGCTCCCCGCAAGCTGAGACGAAAGAGCAGGGAGCCATGTGGGAGGACGAGGGTGGCCAGCAGGATGGCACCAGGATCAGCTGGTAGGGCCCAGGGCCTAGGGGCAAATAGGATGTCCTGCTCCACTAGGGGAATGCAGACACTGGGCAAGGGCCCTCCATCCCCAGGCACATTCCAGGAACACACATGCACACATGTTTCCTTATCAGCCAGACAAGCTGGCCCACAAGTCCGGAAGCTGCCCTCCGAGGCCCAGCCCCTCCCCCATGCTTGGCCTGGACAACAGGATGGCCAAGGAAGTGCTCTAGACTCTCTGCAAGGCCTCCCAGGACCTGGTGGGCAGGGGGAACGGGTACGTCGGGGGTGGGATGGTCCAGAGTCCGGCTCCCTAGGCCTGGCCCACCTCTGGGCCCCCGCCTTCCCGACTACACCCTCCGAGGAGCTGCTGTCTAGCTCCCTGCTCATCCCAACGTGGCCTCGGGAAGCCAGCCCCCGTCTCCAGACACCGCTAGGCCCACAGGAACACACGCGAGGCACACACAGCCGCCTGGGCATGGAGGTTCCTGCCAGGAAAACCTGACTTCCTGTCTCCAGGCCCAGACACGCTCAGGAAGATGGCCTGGGTCTCAGCCTGAACCCTTTCCACTACCACAGGAAGCCCCTGTCAGAGGGCGGCTACTCTGTTTCAGCGCCTCTTCCTAGCCTCCTCCTGGGCGCCTTCCCCCCTCACGGACCCCACTGACCTCAGGCTCCTGCACCGGGGCCCTTTTAGCAGCTGCGTGCAGTGCAGACCAGGGCCCGGCCCTGGGGACGCGGGCTGGCGGGAGGGCCGGGGATCGGCTCTCAGGCTGGCTTTACTTCAGCCTGGGAGGCACGGACAGCACCCCATTTCACAGCTAGGGAAACTGAGGCACAGAGCTGGGATGGAACTCCTCTGCACCTCTGTAGCCTGTCTTGGAAACCCAGCCCCGGGACCCTCAGCCTCCAGCCCAGGGGCTCGGGCAGGCCAGGGGCTGCAGAAGGACACTCCCACGAGGGCACTGGGACTCAAACACAGGGTGCGGGCTCCCTAGGGAGAACCTGGCCAGGGTCAGATCCAGCCCTCCTACACCCCCCCCACCACCCAGGCGGGCTGCCTCTCCCTGGGGAAAGAGGTGCTCCTCTGACACCACCCTTCCCCTGGCTGTGAGAGCCTCAGGCTACCTGTGCTGGGGCCAACTGTGAACCAACCTCTACCCTCTCAGGCCTCAGTTTCCCCACAGCGGACAGACACCACGACTGCTTGTCAGCGGCAACACTAGAACACGCTCTGCCCCCCACCCCTTAGCCTGGAGCCTGTGAACCAAACCGCAGCCTCTCCTCATCCTCATGTCCTCATGTCAGCCACCCCCCACCCCCCACTGGGTTCCCTGCCTAGGGAGACTAGACACTCCTCAGCCTCCTGCCTGCCCCACCTCTGACCCCCAGCCCCATGTATTCACGAAGGGGGCTGCCCCCAGTACCTGCTACACTCTCTTCAGGACCCCAACAACACCCAGGTGTGGCTCTGTTCTCCAGGCTTGGTGTGGGGACTGTGGCAGCCCTGCCCAGGTCCCCTGGCCGTCCCCGGTGGAGGAGCTGGGCCCAGGCGAAGGCAGGAGAGTCCTGTCCCCCTCCTGCCTGGCCCCACAACCTTTCAGAACCCTTGCCTTGTCCTCGGGAGGTTCAATTTCATTTGGTTCCTAGAACCTTGCCCCTGATCTAGCCCCACGGCCAGGTCAAGGTCAGGCTCAGAGAGGCGCTGGTGTTCTGCTGCAGAGCGGTGGTGGGAAGGCACCCACGGCTGCCTCAGTGTCTTCCCCACCATCTCCACGCTCGGCCTCCCTGGCAAGCTGGAGGCTGCCCATGCCAACGAGCTTCCCCGCAGCCTTGCCAGGAGGCTTGAGTCAAATTTCAGTGCCAGCCTCTGGGAGAGAAGGGGGGCGGGGAGGGGTAACAGGTGCACACTGGAGCAATCTCCTTGCAGCCCCACCTGCAGAGCTGAGACTTACAGGATCAGCACTTCCCACACACATACTCCACGGATGACACTTGTCCTGCAGCAGTCCTACAACTTTCACTCCTGGGAAGTCCCTCTGACGTCTAACCCAAATACCCCAGGCTGCAGGAAAAGCCTTGGCCTTCTTGTCTCCCAGGAGCCCAGGCCTGTTTAGAACAGGACAGAGCAGTGGCCACCCCTGCTGGGTGAGGTTCACTTGGCACATGAGGCCAGTGAACCCAGGTTCCCAGGGTTAAAGACTGTTTTCTCTACAGCCACAGGCACAGGCCTTCCCAGCTCTGGACCAGCCTCAGTCTCCCCATTTGTACAATGGGCAGGAAAGGGCCATTCACCAAAAGGAGTCACCACAGAACTTTCCATCCTGACCCCTCGGTACATGGGGACCCACACCTGCTCCCAGCCAACTTGGCCCTGACTCTCTTTAGGGAGGCACTATTTTAATTCACCTTTATTTTAAAAATAAATATTCTGTTTTACACTTTCAGCCTGGGGGTGGTGCCGGACAGCTAGGCAGGGAGCCCTTCCCTGATGGGCAATATTGAAAGGAACCTCTGCTACCCCCAAACACTCCCCCGCAAATGCCTGAAATGCCACTCTTCTGGCCCTTCCTTCTGGCAAGCCGTGGATGGCTGAGGATGGGGATTCCTTGAGGGTGCCTCCCCGGGCGTCCGGCTTGGGGCTCAGTGTCCAGGTGAGGGCGCCGACCCGCTAGCATGCGCAGCCCTCTCCCTGAGACCCGGGTCCTCCAGACCCGGGAGCACTAGATGCAGGTGATCAGCAGGTCCACGGAGGCAGGCACCTCGATCTCTTCGAAGAGCACGTGGCCCCCAGCAGCCCCGGAGCCCCCGGAGCCCCCGGCCTTGCCCGCAGCTGTCAGCAGGCTCTGGGCATGCTGCAGGAGGCGCTGGTTCCGACGGCGGCCCAGTCTGCGCAGCGCCAGAATGGCCAGGACGTGGTCCCGCCTGCAAAGATACGCCCGCATCGGTAGGCCCAACATCTCCTGTGGCAGTCTCAACCTCAAGTGAGGGGACCCCTGGGCTCAGGTACAGGTGCACCCAGCATCCCTGGAGCCTGGCCTAAGAAAGGCCAAGAATGACCGAGGCGGAGGAGCAGTGCCCCGGGCAGGGCGGCTGGGGCTCCAAGGTGCTGAGCCGGTGGGGAGGGGAGGAGCAAGCCCATCAGGGAAAACAGTCTAAGCAGAGGTTCAAGAAGCAGTGGAGGAGTAGAGGGGAGCGATATGGCCTCAGGGGGAGCGGGTCCAGGCCAGGGGATGTCCCAGGCCCCTTCCTGTGAGCACTGTGCCGGGAGCCACAGGCAGCAGGGGGAGAGGGAGCACGGAGGTGGGGGAGGCTGTGGCACAGCAGCATTGGGAGTCACCCTCATCCCAACCCCAGTACTAGAAGCGCCGCCTCCAGGATGGGCCCCCCTCACCCAGGGCAGGGGAACCCCAGGGACTAGGGGGAACCCTGCGGCACTGTGAGGGGGGTAGACACTCCCAGCCAAAGGTGGAGCCAGTATGGGCTGGGGAAAGGGCTCTGCCCCGGGCTTTCTGTGGCCTCACCATCCTGGCATCTCCAAAGCTATGGAGAGATTCAGGCTGGAATTTCCATGGGCTCCATGACTCATCCCCACCCCCCCAAAACACACACCCCAGGATAAAAGCCTCTTTCCTCTTGGCCCAGTCTCAGAAGTCTCCAGACTCCCAATAGGGTTTTCTCACAGAGGGGGCCATGCCTCCCCTTCAGACTGGCAGATGGGTCCTTGTCATCACCGCCTGATGCCCAAGGAGGGGCCCTGACCCCAACCCAACCCCATCGGGCTCCTGGGGCGTCCTGACCCCATGGCACTGATTGAGAATGGCCGAGAATAGTTTCTGAAGGAGGGGCAGTCGGGCTCCCCGCCCTGCCCCCACCTGGGGCCTGAAGGTCAGGGCCACGATCTAGGCACCTGCACCTGCGCACACTAACCCGCCCGGCGCCCACCCCGCCTGTACCGGGGCCCCGCTCCCCACCAGAACACTCTGACCCCCCTGTGGTCCCTCACCTGTCCACCCAGAGCCACAGGGACCCTTCTGCAGGGACCCGACACTGCTCCCCTGGTGGCGCCCCGTTGGAGCCCAGGGAGGGAGCAGGTGGTAACCGACCTGATGTCAGGGTAGTTCCTGATGAGCGTCTCCAGGTGCCGCTGGATGTCATCTTTGTAAGTCTCGCCCAGTATGTCAGCCACGCACGGGATCGCCTGGTCCAGCCACGTGGCCTCAGAGCCCTGCAGAGACAAGGAGACAAATGCCAGACAGGCCACCTCCCCTGGGAGCCTCCTTGCCACCCATGCCTGCAACCCATCCACCGCGTCCCCGCTGTGACTGCCTCCTGCACGCCTGGCCGGAGGGGCCTCAGCTTCCCTTCCCACCATACAATGCGGAGATGTCTTCTCGTCTCTGCTCAGATGGGTAAACTGAGGCCCTGGCCTGGAAGTCCTGCTGGGAATCCTACAGTGTGGGGGGAACCTTCAGTGCAGATAAGGGGTGGGTGTGTATGAAGAAAATGCCTCAGCTTCAAAGGCTGGGTCAGGGGTGCTGGAAGAGCCTCCTACAGGCTGCCCCTTCCCTACTCACCCCACCAACCATATGCAAATATATGGAGATGACCCCCCCTGGCCCCGCCTCAGTTGTGCCCGGAGTGTCCTGGAGAGTGCAGAGAGCCACTTCCACCAAAGCCCACTGGCCGTGGCTCTTGCAGAGGACACTAAAATGAGAATGGGGGGGGGCAGTGGAGGGTCCACAGGCCAGAGGCCCTACAGGAGGCCAGACTCGGGGCAGTCAGGCTATGCTCCTACCAAGCCCTGGAAGGTGTCGCCAATGGCCTGGGCGTCCAAGCCCATCTTCTGGGAGCTAGTCATGCGCTCCTCACCCCGGAACCGCTCACGCGGCCTCAGCACCTGTGCCAGGTATTCACGGACCACGTATCGATGCACCTCCTGCAGAGTCTCCTGGGAGGCCCGGGGATTGGGGTCAGAGTCGGAGCTAACAGCCCGCGCCCAGGGCCCAACACAAGCCCACCAGCACCCTCTCCCCTCAGATACCTGTGCACGCAGTGGGGCCACGTGCTCCAGATGGTGGGCGAAAGTCACCACCTTGTTCATGAGGGGCTGCAGCACGTCATGTGTCAGCCAGGCCTTGGTACACAGGACCCTGAAAAGTGGCTGGGAGCAGAGGGGGACAGGAGTCTTCCAGGCATATCCTCCTCCTCCTCAGACCCTCTGCTCGGAGCCCAGCAAGTGGCTCCTAACAGGGGGTTTCAGGCCAAGGGACAACGTGTCACCAGGAAGAAATTTTGGAGGGCCTGTCTGACTCCCTTCTAATGTCTCCCTGGTGACCTCTCTCTCAGCCACCAGTGTCACTAGGCCTTTGGCAGGAATGCCTCCTCCAGGACCCAAGCTCCAGTGAGCCAGATTAAAGTCTGAGTCTCCATGAAGCCCTTGCTTGGGGTTGCCTAGGGAGGCCTTGGGGGGCTGGGCAAGGGGTCTGGTTCCCTGAACTCACTTTCTCTGAGAGGCAGAGACTGAAGCAAATAGGCGTCTCCTGACCTCACTGCCCCACTGTGAATTTACCTGGGTCCCTTGCCTACCCTCCAACATACCACCCCTGAAACTGCTCCTGGGGGGCGTGAATGCTATGACTTGGCCCCCCAGGCTCCAGGGCACAGGAAGGCACCTGCTGGGTGTGGAAAGTGGGGTGAGGAGTCCCACTCACTTGCACATCATCCTGCAAGCCCTGCAGCAGCCGCTTCTGGAAGGTACAGGTGGCAGCCACCAGAGGTTTCTCCAGCTCTTCAAAGGTTCCTGGGAACCTTGCCAGAAGACTGGTCCTGGGGAGGGGCCAGGACAGGTGAGGAGGTGGGCAGGAGAAGTAAGCCGTGGAAAAGTTATAGCATATACCTACGGAGGTATATGCTAGGTAGGCTACGGAGGCTAGTACCACACCAACTGCATTCACTTAGACTATAATGTGAAGGGCAGCTCCAAGCAATCCTGAAGGCAGAGTCAGGTGAGAAGCCAGCACCAAAGCCCCAGGAGCTGATCACAGAGGGTAGGTCAGTAGGGTGGTGGCGGTGGCCCCACTGCATAGCAGGGCTCCCCTATGGCAGCTCTTGACCAAACTTCTGTCCATCTTGTTGATGAGACAGGGCAGCCTGGCCATGACTGGCACAGAGGCCCTCCTTTGAGCCTCATAACTGCCTCTCTGAAGCTGGCAATGTCCCCATTTCACTTTTGAGGAAACTGAGGGCCAAGCTAAGCCCAGGCCCCAGAACAGGGACACAAAGAGGCAGGCTAAAGCTGCATCAGGGGCTGGGCCAGTGGCTGCCTACCAAGTGGCAGGGACTGTTCCCTGGGCTGAATGGAACGGGCCACCCTGGCTCAGATTAGGGATGAGAGGGTGTTAGAGAAGTGGCCCTCATCATGGTCATGCCTTGGATTCAGACAAGCCCGGTTCAAGTCCCAGGTCCAGCACATACTGGATGGCGCATGACGGTGGGCAAATGGCATTTCCTTTCTGAGCCTCCACTTCCCATCTGTTCAGAACCCGGGGACACTGCACTTGGGATGACAGGCATCATGCAGGTAAAGTACTAACCCAGAGCCCAGCACATCACAAGCCTTCACAGAACGACCCCTCTAAGGCGCTGAGTCACTCAAGGTACACAGACAGCAGGTGGCAGAGCGGGGACGGGAACCCAGGGGGTGGGGGCGGGGGACCTAAGTCCATGCCCACAGCTGCTAGCTGCCCTGCGGCAGCTGGTGCACAGCATACACGACGTGGGGACATTGAACTTGTCCTGTGTTGAAGGCACAGAAGGGGTGCAGCCACTGCCAGCAGAAGGGGAGGCCCCCTGCCTTCTGGGGGCAGAGGGACCCGGGTGCCACTCCCAGGGTAGTGGGGAGGGGGGACAGACTGTCAGGGAGGGCTCCCCGAGAAGGGAGTGTCACTGCAAAGGAAGATGGCTGACTTGGATGAAGGGAGGAAAGAAAGGAGCCCGAGGTGGCAGGGGACACACTGGGCAGGCAACCGGCCAGGACGAATGGCTGGAGCTTCTCAGCCTCTGCTCAGCGTGGAAACTCCCTGCATCCCTTCCAGGGCCTCAGCTCTGAAGGGAGGAGGGGGCACCCTATGGGGCGGGAGCGGAGGGGGGCATCCAAGGAGGCCTTCCGGGAAGTCACCCAAAGCCACTGTCCCCACGCTGGCAGCGGGTTCCCAGAGCTCGCGCGCCCCCTGCTGGTGGCTGCCCCCCCACCCCCGCGGAGGAGCAAGAGGCCCACCTGAGCTCCTCGCAGGCGTTGATATTGGCGCCCAGATGAGGTTCACTCACCGCCTTCGACTCTAGAAAAGCCTTTTCAAACCTGGGGGCAAAGTATGCAGAGGCCTTAGGGACCCTCACTGGTGGCGCTATGACTTGGGGTCTGCCCTCCCCTCAGGTCCCCACCCAGACCCCAGACCCCCACCTCACCCTCTCCGCCCCCCCTTATAATGAGGCTCCTCCCTCTCACCTGTCCCAGAATCTCAGACTCTGAGCAAACAGGTTGGGTCCTCCCCCAGGGACGATGGCCGTCCGGCCCTGGCCTCTCCACCCACCCTACCCTGGGCAGAGGATGTGCCTGCACCTGGGCAGAAAGAGGCCAAGGGCTCGTGTGCAGATGCGCAGGGTGGTGGCCTCCAGTTCCGCAGAGATGGCACCGGCCGCCTTCACGTGCTCTGCCACGAGCTGCAAGACATCCCACCTGCTGAACCCACATCAGAGGCCAGATCCCGATGCCCCCCGTCCCGCACCTTGGCCCAGCAACATCTTCAGCCTGCCCTGTGCTGTCTCATCATCTCGGCTCCAGCTTCCAGTAGCTCCGCCCAGCTCCCCACATCCACAGGCCACCTACTAAGCTGTGCCCTGGTGCTCCCAGGCTGGCCACGTGACCCACAGTCCCTGATTCCGCCCCAGGTGGGTCTCAGGCTCTCATCTACTGGGGAAAGGAGGTTGGGACTGGACTGTATAGTTCTGGGTGTCCCTACCTCGAGGGGGACCAGACACCGCCGGAGGCCCAGACATATATCCCTCCTCCCAAGGCTCACCATGTGGACATCGATGGACAGTGGCGTGTGGTAGAGGCCCTGTAGCACGTCAGGGGCCTCGGCGCCCGCCCACCGACTCTGCTCTAGCTGCAGGATGCTATCGAAGCAGCTCGTGATCTTGGTCTGTGCAAGGTGGGGAGAGGGGTACACCTTGAAGGAGGTCTGAGTTCCCCTATCTCCTGGCTCTGTCTTGTACCCTCGGAGGAAAGAACCACCCTGCTGGGGCATAGGTCCATGCTGGAGGCCACAGGGTAAGAAGGGGCTCTGGCCGGAACCAGGCCTGATGCCCAGAGTGATTCTGGGCACCACACCTCCCCACAGTGAGGCAAGAACAGTCAGCCTTGATCGTGCCCCTCCGGCCCGGCCCTGCCTCCGCCTCACCTCTAGGAAGCTGATGTAGTCGCTCTCCAGGCGGGCCCACACGGCGGGTGCCAGGAGCGGGGGTAGTGGCTCTGTGGACAGCGTCAGGTCCGGGGTCCCCAGGAAATCAGGACTGGAAGGCAGGGTGGAAGCTGAGGGCCTGGGCTGGCCTCGGATGCACTAGGGGCTGCCCCAACTCCCCCCTGGCCAAAGCCTAACACCATCACCTAGCCCCCCGCAGCTCAGGGATCTGCCGCTATCCAGCCCACACCAGAGAGGTCCAGAGAGTGATGCGTCCCTGCCCGAGGCCACACAGCAAATTAATGAGCCCAGGAGTTTAGACACCCTCTTCCCACCTGCTCTCTGGCCCTCAGAACTGAGGAGTGCTCACAGGCAAAGGTAACCCACCCCGGCACAGCGCAGAGCTGGAGGTGGGAGCTGTCAACACGCTGTGCCCTGTACCTAGGTGCCCGTCCTCAGGGAAGAGGGAGGGTGAGATCCAACCCGTGCCCAGTGTCTGTGAGCCGCAGTCGTGTCCTGCCTGGAGGGGTGCCCGTTTGTAAGTGCTCAAGGGCACCCTGTGGGCCAGCGTGGACCCTCTACCCGGACTCTGCGCTGGGAGAACAACGTCCCCCGAGACGCTTTCCTGCTTTGCCCAACAGGTGCATGGCTGGCCCCTTAGGGAACCCCTGGCGGGACAGGACAGTAGGTGGCCCGGAGCTGAGGGAAAAGAATGTCCAAGTCCCCGGGATCTCCGCTGCGGGGCCACCCGCCCTCTCCCAGGGAGGAAAGCAGAAAGGGGCCCGTGCTCCTCGGGGAGGCCCCCCGCCACCTCCGGGCGGGCGGCGCCGGCTGGGGAGCCTCACCTGCCGTACACATTGGCGGCCCAGTCCAGCAGGACGTAGAGCTGCTCGCAGCCGCGGGCGTCCTGCGCGAGCTCCTGGAGGCGCTGGGCCACGGCGCCGTGGAAGGCGCGCAGGTAGGCCTCCCAGGCCGGGAAGCCGGCGGCCGAGTAGGCGGGCTGCACCTCCTGCCGCACCTTGTGCAGGTCGCTGCGCACCGCGCCGCCCAGCTGGGCCAGGAGCCGGGCCAGGCCGGCCGCGCCCTCGGGCCCCGGGGCCTCCGCCGCGGCCGCCCGCACGCGCTCCTGCGCGCTGCTCCGCACCGCGTCCTCCCAGTGCTGGCGCCAGCGGCGCGGGGTGAGCAGGAAGTCGCCGTCGGCGGGGGGCGCCGGGTGCGCGGCCTCCTCCGCGCGCACCGCCCGGGCCAGCTCCCCGAGCGCCGCCGCGTCCACGCGGGCCGGGCCCAGCGTCTCGCGCACGATGGCGCGGATCTCGGCCGCCAGCCCGTCGTAGTGCAGACACACGTCCATGGCGCGCCGCGCGAAGCCCGTGGGGTCCTGCTCGAAGGTGTGCGAGGCCTTCTCGGCCACCAGCCGCATCTCCAGCTGCCGCAGCTGTTCGAAGGCCGCCAGCAGCTGCCGCTCGGTGATGAGGTCGGCCACGGATTTGCCTTCTGCAAGGACCCCCCCCCCCAGCAGAGGGGCGGACGGGGGGTGCCGCGTCAGAGCCTTGGCGTGACCCCGCCCGGTCCTCGCCCCTCGGAGCTGCTGCTCGGCCCCAGAGCCCGCTGAAGGCCTGCTCCGGGAGCCACCGCCCCAAATGCCAGGAACCGTGCCTCGGAATCCCCTTCGAAGAGGCAAAACCCCCAGCCCCAAACCTGGCTGAAAACAGCAGTTGGGAGGAGCCCCTGCCTTCCCCACGTTCAGCCCGGCCCTTCTCTCCTGCTCTGACCCCACCCGGGGCCCTGCTGAGCCGCACCTGTGGCCTCAGGTGCCGTCTTCACTGCGGGTCTGCTGGGGTGAGAGCGCGGGCTGGGCTGGGCTGGGCTGGGCTGGGCTGGGCTGCGGCTGCACCAGCTCCAGCAGTTCTTGCTGTTCCCCGCTCTGGGCCAGCCCCCAGGCCTGGGAGTCCCCTCCACCCGCAGCACCACCTCCCCCCTTTGGGGCCCAGCTCCAGCCTGTCCTGCCCTGGCAGCCCCCATGGCCTCCCCCTCGGCCCTTGGTTTCCAGGCACCCTCGGAGACCCTGGGACCTGAGAGGGCAGGGCCTTGTCCATCCCTGGAGTTTGGCCAGGAGCCAGGCGGTGGAGAGGTGAGGGTTTCGGAGTCGTGCAGATCTGGGTTCAAATCCCATTTCTCCACTTCCTGGCTATGAGACTTGAGGCCAGTCACTGAACCTCTCTGAGTCACACTTTGCTCACTCTCACCTCTCTGAGCTGCCCGGTGGATGCTCCCCTGGCTGAAATGCTGAAAATGCAATCGCGCAAGCAGTATCTGGGAGAGCTGGGGAGGACAGCCTGTCAGGAAGCCTGACCCTGCTTGCTCACCCTCTGGCCTCAGTTTACCCCTCCATGCTCAGTATTGCTTGTGATGCTCTCACCTGTCTCAGATTCCAGTTTCTCAGACCCCACCCCAGTGGAGGACCGCCGGCTGCCACCATCTGCGATCCTAGAGGGCACCTCTGGGCCACGGGCCACCCCTGGCACAGCAGCAGCCTGGGACTGGTCAGTAGTGGCGCCATCATCTCGGGAACGCCGCAGGGACCGGAACAGGAAGCGGGAACTGCGCTGGAACAGGCTCCTGTCCTCCTCGGGGCCCTGGCCTGAAGCCTGCTGGCTTGTGCGGGAGAAGGCCCGCCGAAGGCTGCCCAGGCCGGGCCGAGCGTCCTCACTCGGGTGCGAGCTGGGTGCGTCCCCGCTGCTTGCCTTCCGAGTGCCCCGCGCTGGGGTCTGCAGCTTCGCGGGCTCCTCGGGGCTCTGCAGCTCCAGCCCAGAGGTCACTGTCCGCGGCGACAACATCCTGGTAGCAGGAAAGCTAGACGGAAAGGAGGTTCAGGAGGCCTGGAGCGGGGCGCGGGGGTTGGCTCCTGGCGCAGAATAGCAAATGGGCACAGAAACCCCGTGAGACCCTGTGAGGCCTGACGGAGCCCAGTGGCTGCACTTGGTGAGGGAAACTTCTCCCGGGAGATGACCCCCAGGTTGGCACCAGGCCGCTCTCATGGCCAGAGCTGTGTTTGTGCCAGGCTGCAGCTGGCAGTGAGATGCAGGCAGCTACTTCCTTCTGGAAAGCTTCCGTGACACCGCCGTCTAAAGGGTGTCCTCCAGGCGCCCACCCTCACTGGCTCTGCCAGGCCAGACCCTCCCCGAGCTGGGGAGGAGAGTTGAACATGCAGATTCTGGGGCACAGCCCAAGCCGCAGCCCACAGGCCCCGGGGGGCGGGCCCAGCAACCACATCCAGGACTTCCTGGACGTTGGGTCCTGTGGCCTACAATGCCTACTCTCCCCTCCCCTGGCATTCACTGCACTCCCCCCCAGCCCCCGCAAAGCCCTCAGCTCACCCCCCATTCTGCCCATCAGGCCTAACTGCCTCTGCTCAAAGCGGACCCCGTAAAAGGCTATGCACCTCCCCTCTGGGTCAGGCTTGAGGTCTCTGGCCACCCCCGGCTGCCCCCAAGGCTTATCTGCTTATCCGCCCTTGCAGCACTGTAGGGGGAGTGGTGGGAGGGGCCACAGGTCTATATTTAACTGGGGGGAAGGTCCCCAAGGTAGGACTCATCCATTGTATCTCCTCCCCACCCACCCCTGCTGTGTTCCAGCCCCTCCCCTAGAAGGGGTGTCCAGAGGGTCCCTAGGGCATGGAGGTACAAAGCAGGGGCTGCCCCTGCCCCTGCCCCGCCTGGGCTCCAGGCCCTCCCCAGGCTGCACGCACACTCCCTTCCAGCTCAGTCTGGCCTGTGTTTGATTTCCTGGCTTTAGTTGAAGCTGAGTTGGGAGAGGGGAGAGAGACTCCACAGGCTGTGGGGCCTCCGGCCCACCCCTCTGTGAGGGTGTTGTGTCGGGGTGGGGGGGTCGTCTTAGACCAGCAAGGTCTTACTTCATTTAGCCTGGGGGAAACCGGCCAGAAGGAGGGCTGGACCTACTGAAGTCACTGTCCAACCAGAGGCCAGAGCCCCCAGCCCATCCCCAGGCTCCCCTCACCCCACCCCTTGGACAAAGGTCAGGCTGTCACCTGACCCTCAGGTGACACAGGGCAGGAACACCTCTCCCCAGGCCCCCCATTTACCTTGGGTGGGATGACAGTGGATGGGCAGGGCCAGACCCTCATCTACCCCCCATGCCCTCCGGGGTCAGACATGCAGGTGGTCAGCCAAGGCCTCCCTTCATCCTTCCAATGCCCTAACAGCTGGAGAGAGGCCCCCTGTGGGAGGGCAGGCCCCCATGATTGATGGTCCTTATCAGCCCTGCCCAGGTCACTGGTCGTTGTCCTCTCCTGGCGCCAGGACTCAGGGACCCTGCCCCGGATCAGACTGACCCACATGTGTAAGGAACATTGTCCCAAGGGCTGTTTGCCCTCCCCGCCCCCAAACTCCCCTCTCCCTGTTGCCCCTCGGCATCCGGCAGGGTCTGAGCCTGAGTGGCCTGGGCCCACCTGGATGTGCTTCAAGCTCTGTCACCAGGCATGTGGGGAAGGTCAAGTGGGCCCTGTCTTGGTTGGGGAGAGCTCATACTTAGTAAGCACCTACTGTGTGCCCAGCCCAACACCTGGCACCCATCAGATCCCCATAACAGCAAAGTTGTAGGGTGTCACTTCATCTCATAGATGAGGAAACAGGCTCAGAAAAGAGGCAGGTCTTGCCTCCAGCCACACAGGTCGGGGTCAGGGAGCCTCGACCATCCCAGCCCATGTGGACCCGGGAGTAGAGGCTGGGATCCTGCATCTCCCAGCTCCAGTGAGCCAGGGCCAAGGAGCCATGGTGGGGGCAGCTCCCAGATGCCAAGAGTGGGCCCTAGAGGCTGATTCTGGGGGAAGGAGGGGTGGCTGGCAGTTTGGATCTTATGTGAGACTGCATGAGCAGATACATCCCCCCAGCCTGCTCAAGCACCTGCACCCAGAGCTGGGCCTATCCTGAGGGCCCATCGAGGCCCTTGCTGGTTTCCCTGTCTCCTTTGATCTTGCTCCCACAATTCCCAAGCCATTATTGACCTTCTTACAGAACAAGTCAACCAGGTCACTCCCTTACTTTAAAGTCATCCATGGCTTCCCATGGCCTGGCACTCTAAGCCTCCCGATCCCGGACAGAACTTCCTCCAACCTCAAGCCTCTGGGCCTCCTTGACCTGCACCTGTCCAGCCTCCCAGGTGCCTCTCTGTCCCCCAAATGTCCAGCCTCCCAGCTTCCTTGCAGGCTGCTCCCTCTCCCTGCTCCCCATCTTTGCTCTCCAGATCTGACCTGGATTTCAGGGCACAGGGCTATGGGTGCCCTCACCTCCAAGGTGTCCTTGGGCTGTGCTGCACCACTGTCCCTGCGGCGATGGGGCCTTCCTTACTGGCCCGAGATCCTCTAGCCATCTGCTCCTTCCCCATCAGCCCAGAGCCAGCCTGGAGGAGGAGTGAACCTTCAGGGTCAGGGCTGGCTCTTGCCCGGGTTGTCTTGGCCAGGTATCACACCGGTATCTGCTGGACTGGATGCCCTGCTGACTCTACCTTGGCCCCTGCCCCGTACCTGCCTCCTCATACCTGTGAAGACTCTCTGGCTCTTTATCACTCTGGACCTCTGACCCCATTACCCTGAATGTTCAGAGGCTCTGGCTGCCGCGCCTGGGGCTCAGGATGGGTGTGTGTTCTAGCCTGCCCCTCGGCTCCCGCTCCCCCCCCACCCGCTCTCCAGCTCCCCTCTCTGCCACACCTGCACTCAGGCCGTTTGCCAGCAGCCAGCTCCTGCGAGTGGGCACCAAGCAGCCTCTCGTGACCACAGCGCCTCCCACTCTGGGCCTGGTCAAGCCCTGGGCACACTTTCTCCTGTGACCTAGGGACAGTTACCTGGTCCGGGCATCTGCGCCTTGGCCATGAGCCCCCCCAGGGCAGGGAGCGGGCTTGACTCAGCTCCCAGCCAGAGCCAGCACAGGGCATGGACCCAAGGAAAAGAGATAAGCAATCTCACGTGAGTGTAAGCCTGGGGTGTGTCACCACTTTTGTGTGGATGGGCTTTGTGTGTGGACCCGAGTGTGTCTCCCCGTCTGTGGGCCTCAGAGGCCTGCGAGCGGCTCTCGCCGTGAGTCCGTGTGGGTCTGGCTGTGCCCACACGCATGTCTTTCTGTCCGCGTCTCTGCGTCCTGCGTGTCTGTGCATGTCTGCGGTGACGTGGGCTGGCACGCCGGCCTGGGCTCCGAGCTCAGGCCTTGGCCCCGGAAGCCACGAGCAGAGCTAAGTCCTCAGCCTCTTGGGTCCCCACTCACCGCTCACGGCATCCCTGCGGCCCTCCTGCCCTACCTGTGCCGCACGTACCTGCAGCGTGAGTGCGCTCCGGAGCCCAGGCGGGGCAGGGCCGGGGAAGCCGAGCCAGGCCCTCCAAGCCGAGCCGGCCGAGGTGGTGAGGCCCCCGGAGCAGCCAGAGTGAGTGACCACAGCTGGGACTTCCCAGCCCCGCCGCAGGGCCCACCAGCCCCACCCCCGGCCCCACCTCCACCCCAGGCCCCAGTTTCACTTTCACAAGCGCTCCCACCCCCTTCCCATTCCAGCCACTACAACTCCAACCTTTGATTCCGGGCAGTCCATGGCCCAGGCTGAAGGGCGCGTGGGAAGGGAGGGGCAGCACTTAACAGCGCCGGGCAGTGGGGGGGCGACGCGGCAGAGACTGTTGTAACCGCCACCTCTGTGGTCACGCCAAGGCCAGAGCCCAGATGCCAGAGGGGCTGGCCTGCCGGGGTGCACTGAGCATGGGAGGGGGACACACGGCCCACAGCACCCAAGCCCAGAAGAACCACCCCTCTCCGGGGCAGAGACGCTGGCACCAGGCCTGGGTGCCAAGCTCATCCTGAGATGTGCCGCCTGCCACCGACAGCCAGATGCACAGAAACGTGGGCCAAGGGGTGCAGCAGGGATGCGGGGCCCGAGGAGGATGTCACAGTGGCGGCAAAGGGAATGTCACAAGCCACAGGTCACTCCAGAGGGCTTCAGGAGCTGGAGGAGGAGGCTACAGGAGAGGAGGATTAGCCTCCTGTAGGAGGAGGGATGGCGTCCTGGGCAGGGGTCAGCAAAGGTGTCGGGACTCATGCCTCATGAATCAACAGCACAGGCCCTGCTCCTCCAAGTGGATCAGGTTGGAGATGTTTTGTGGAGAGGGTCACCAAGACTTCCCAGAAGAGGCAGGCCACCCGTCTTCATGAGGGGGGATTCCGTTGCCAGCATCCTCGGAAAAAACTTAGGGAAAATCCAAGGAGGGCTGATCCAGGCCTGTCCCACCCGGGCTGGAGCCACCGGGGCATGGGGCCGAGCGGGGCAGGTGGAGACAGGCTTGTGCGTTAGTGTTCGACGGCTGCCAGGACACGGTACCACTGGCTGCAAAGTTCGGGAAGCTGGAAATCCGAGATCCCAGTGTCAGGAGAGCCGGTGTCTCCCGAGGCCGCTCTTCTGGGCGTGTAGACGCTGTCTTCTTCCCGTGTCCTCACACGGTCATCCTGTGCATGTGTGTGTGTGTCTCCTGTTCTTTTTTTTTTTAAGATTTTATTTATTTATTCATGAGAGACACAGAGAGACAGAGAGGCAGAGACACAGGCAGAGGGAGAAGCAGGCTCCACGCAGGGAGCCCGATGGGGGACTCGATCCTGGGACTCTGGGATCATGTCCTGAGCCAAAGGCAGATGCTCAATCGCAGAGCCACCCAAGAGTCCCTGTCTCCTATTCTTATAAGGACACCAGTCATATAGGATTAGGACTCATCCCAATGGCCTCCTTATACCTTAATCACCCTATAAGGAAACTGTCTCCAAATATAGTCACCTTCTGAGGTACTACTGGGGGTTTTGACTTCAATGTAAGAAGTTTTTGAGGACAAAACTCAGCCCAGAACAGACTGGAAGTCACCGGAGATGCTGCAGACAGGTCAGATTGGACCCAGAGAGGCCAACACCTCCCCCAGGAAGTCCTCTGACTTACCACTTGAGTGATTAGTCCCCTGATCCCTGGGTACCCCTCCGTGAAATACGGTCGTTAAGAGTCCCAGCTCAAGCCCACGGGCTGGATGGGCCTTGCCCCCAGCTCGGGCTGGTCTGCTCGCTGGCCTGCTGTCCCACGTGTCTCCAGCAGTCAGAACTGAGGGAGGGGAGGGGATACCCCCGGATGACTGCCCGGGGCTCCTCAGTGGGAGTAAGCATCCTCCCTCACTGCACTGGAACACCGACCCAGAGGCACGGAAACCTGCTCCTGGCCAGCAGCTGGCGAGCCAGATGCCAGGCCTCCAGCTCCGGTTTCTGCCTCTGAGGATTGGATCTTTCCACAGGGTCAGGCCCTGCCGGACACCAGGGTTCCTCAGTCTGACCTTCCTGGTCTCCAGGTCACAGGGCACATAAAGGTGCCCTGATTATGGGTCGCCTCCTCTCCAGAGATGGGCCCCTGAAACGCTGGTGGTGCCCAGGGCCTGGGGGTTGCTCCCGGGCCTCTCCTCCACGCCCACCCTGGCCTGTGCCCACTTTTCGGCACGAGACTGTGCTGTTTCCTTCATTCTGTCTGCACGTTGCTATTCCCCGACTGTCTCAGTAAAACCCCGTTGGAAAAGTCCACAGGGCTGGTGGGGTCGGGGTCAGGAGAAGGCAGAGCACGGGGCAGCTGGGAGGGGCACAGTCCAGGTGCCCCCGCCCCCGGGGCCGCACAACCTCGGAGAGGCCCGTGCGTGACTCGGAGCCTCAGTTTACTCCTCCATAGAGTGGAGCTATTGTTGGCGTCAAACGGGGCCCGCAGCAGAGGACCTGGCTCCCGGGTGGGGAAGAGCCGGGGAGGGACTCTCACATGCTTGCCTGTCCCAGGGGTTCCTGGGGAGCCAGGCTGTCACACCCCGAATGCAGATGCCAGAGCTGGAAATTTCACCCACACGCGGCCGGGACCAAGGCACAGACAGTCGGAGAGAGGAAGCCTGGCTCCATCCTCTGCCCCTAACTGGCTTTGGGTCGGGCGGGGGGATGGCGCCTCTCTCCGAGGGAACACTGCAGTTTAGGGGGCCCATCTCCGACCTGCGGTAGGCAGTGACCCCAACCCCTGCAGAGATGGGAGCTGCAGGATGATTCCCAGGGCCCTTCCCCAGGTCAACCACACCTGCTGGGGCGGGGCCTCAGGGGACGCGGCGGGGCACCCAGTTCTAGCACCGTCACCCTGTCTCCTGCCGTTATCACGGTTCCCCCAGACATCAGCCTTTGCAAGTGAGGGTGAGTGGGCTGGGGGCCCGTCTTCAAGGGACTGGGTCCTGCAGGCTGGGGGCCCGCGTTCGGGGGGGGGCAAGCAGATCTCTGCCCTGCCCCACTGAGCTGCCTCCGCGGGTGTGGTTCCCCTGCCCCCAGGCTCACTGGGCACAGCCAGGTCCTGGGACCTCCAGTTATGGGTCATCTCCGTGCAAGACTTGCCCTTGTAGGTGGTGGGCTCCATGTGGGGACCACTCCGGCCCGGGTCTCGGAGGACCCTGGATTCTGTCCCAGCTCAGCTATTCGTCAGCTCTGGGACCTTGGGAAAGTGGTGTATAAATGGGTGTCACACTGGGAGGGGCTCTGATGACACTCAGTAAATGACACCCTACCCCCCACCACAGTCCGCACCAGGAATACAGAAATCACTCCTGTTTGCCCACATCCCCTGTACCACGTCCCTTGCACCACGTCCCGTGTGTCAGCGGGTCCTGGCAGGGCTTCCTGTGAAATGTCTGCCCCCTTCCCATGCCCGGGGGGAACCACAGAAGTCTCTAAGCTAGAAACCAGGGGAGGCACCTGGGACTGTGGACGTGGCCCATGGGGCCACAGGGTTAAAATTAAACAGGCTGCCAGGCAGCCTGTTTAATTAAACAAGTTGCAGCACCCCTGCCTCCCACTTCTCCTGCGTTTGGGGGGTGGGTTATTTTTAGAAGGAAGGCGTGCTGGAGAAAGCGCCTTATTCATCCTTGAGGTTAGCAAGGCCTCCGGGAAAGAACAGAGGGGCCTGTGTCTCCTGCCTGTCCTTCCAAGCTCACCAGGGCTCTGTCCCACCCTGCCTGGACCCGAGGACTTTGTTGAGCTAACATTTGTGCAGGGCAGCCTCCTGCCAGGTCCCGAGCTTGCCCTGGCCTGGGTCAGGCTAGCCAAGGGCAGAAACCAGAGAGGGAGGATGGGAGGGAGGGCGGTGCACCTGGGCCCAGGCAGTGATCAGGTTTCTGCCCCCCTCCGACCACCCCCCCCCAGCCCCGTTCTAGCCCCAAACAGCCAGTAGGGCTCCCCTTGTGCAGTGAGACAGAACCAAGAGACAATGTCGCTGGGCCCCGTGGAGGGACAGGATCCTCATGTGGACAGGAAGAGGTGCCTCCCCACCCAGCCCCAGGGAGCCTGTCCCAGCTGGGACCAGGACTAGCCTTGAGCACCTCTTCACACTTCAGTGTGCTCATCTGTGAAGTGGGGACTCCCCATCCCATGGACCATTCCTGGGCCCTATGCACCCAGGGAGGTGGGGCGTGACAGAGCCAGAGCTGGAGGCCCCAAGGAGAGGTAGGAGGCCACCCGGAGGAAGCTGCTCCTGCCTTGGGTGGTCCTGGTTGAGGCAAGCAGAGCAGAAGGCCCCAGACAGAGCTGCTGGCCCCCGAGCAGCCCCACCAGCCACCCCTGCCCCTGCCCCCAGTGTACAACACCTGAGTGGGCGCTCACTTGGCACTCTGGCCTGCTCAGCCTGGGCTCCAAGTCAAGGGCCTTGTCTGGAAAGCCATGGCAAAACCGAAATTACCCCCAGCCCCTTGAGTCCCTAGCAACCCACCAAGCACCAGGAAGAGCCTTTATTTCTGCTTCAAATCACAGGACAAGGGAGGTGTGATTCAGACCCCGGGCTGCGGGTGGGAGAGGGCAGGCCTGTGGTCCCGGCCAGGCCCCGTGAGCAGGAGGCAGTGGCCCGGCTCTCCTTTGCTCCCTGGGGCTGGGGCCCTCTCAGCTGTCAGTGAGCAGGGGCAGGGTTGGCAGGACCCACCCCCCCCAGCAGAATCCGGCCACGGCTCTGTCCTCTCACTGGGGGGTCTGGTGGGCCTGCGCCTTGCTGCTGGCATGCTGACTGCCAGCATCTTCCGGAGCCTTCCCTGGTACCCCCGGCCCACTCGGTGAGGAGGCTGCAGAGACACAAAGACCTCCATGTCAGTGGGGCTGCATTTCTGACAGGCTTGCAAGGAAATGGGGTGGGGGGTGCTTCAGCCAGGCAGGTAGGGTCCAGGGGTGGGAGTACCCCCTCCCCTGGCATGTCTATTAGAGCAAGGAGGTGGCAGGTTGACGAGAAGACCAGGGCAGACCCGGAGACCCTCCCCAGAGCCTGAGTTCCAGTGCTGCCCAAGGGCCGGTCCCCGGATGGAAGGGAGGTGTTGAGGAGGCTTTGGGAAAAGGTAAGGGCTATGGCCCGGACAGGCCGCTTCTGGGCCCAAGCTGCCGGGAGGCTGACATCCAAGGAGGGGCAGAGGGCAGGCAGGGTGCTAGGGGCCCCAGTGGAGGCCAAGTTCATTGCCTCTTCAGGAGACACACTTCCCAGGGGACGAAGCTTTCCAGGGCACAGCTCACTCCTCATGTGCCCCCCACGGAGGTCCCCGTTGCCCGGCCTGCTGCCTGTCCCATGACTCACATCTGGCCTCCGGGAGACCCCTCTCTTGCCCACACATCCTCCTGCTCCCAGAAGCTTCCTTAGGCAGCACAGGAGCCTGCCACCAGGCTGGCCCATCTCCCCACCTCATGGGCACCTCGGCTGGGCCTGCTCGCCAGCCCCCCTCAACTTTCCTCGGCCCTTTGAACGCACACTTGCTCCCAAGGCAATGAATGGGGAGGGAAAGAAGAGGATGAGGAACTGAGCGGGAGCGGGTAATCCTGTGTCCAGCACCCTTAGTGGGCACCTCGCAGGCCCCTCAGTGGATGGGGTCCTCACGTGCCGAGGGGAGGGGGCATGGGACAGAGGAGGGTGGAGGCCGAGAGGCTCCCAGTGCCCAAGCAGAGGCTCAGAGGGTGAGTAAATGGGGGTGAGGTGTGCCCGGGCTGCAGGGGTGGAGGGCCCTGCTTGCAGGAGTGTGCGGGAGGAGCCCTTGCTTCTGCACCCCCATAGGCAGCCCCTCACTCACCAGCAGCCTGGCTCTGGGCTGGCCCCCTCAGGGTGCCCTCAGGGGGCCAACGCAGCTCCCCACTCTCCACAGCGCCCACCTCGCTGGACTCCACCACAATGGAGGGCAGCCGCTGGCCCAGCCGAGGGCCCTTCTCCCGGGCATCTACCGCAGCCTGCAGGGGGTGGGCAGGGGTCAGGGCGGCGCCAAGCCCTGGGCTCCCTGCTCCCCCCACACCCGTCCTGCACTCTGTTCACTGAGAGGATTGGGGCTCTCCCTGCCCAAGCTTCTGGGCAGGAGAGAACATGTGGAGGGGGTAGAGGGGTGCAGGTGCCCCCTCCCCATCCCACCACTGGGGCTGGAGCACTCAGCACCTGGAGCACCAAAGGACCCATCTGGGCTCAGCCCTTAGGCCCATTTCACAGACAGGAGCCTGAGGCCCAAGAGGGGACACCGTGAGTGAGCCCCGCACTCCTGTGCACCACCACCACTGTCCCCCAGATCCTGCGCAGCCCCTTCCTGGGGTCGCCTCTTCTGGGCCCTTGGTCTCCTCCCCAGCTCCAAAGAGCTGGCAAGCTGTTACCATGGCAACCCCAGGCTCTCCGGGCTTGCTCTGGGCTCATTGTTCGGTGCCCATAGGAGTGTGCGGGGGTTGCCTCCCCAAGTCCGCTGGGTGCCCTCAGCGTCTCCGCCTCCCATTCAAGGCCTTCCGAGGTAGAGGCCCACACTGCCACTGTCGCCACACAGCCTGCTGGCCCTAATGCCACGGCAGCACCGATGTCTGCCCTGCCCCAGGTCCTTACTTTGCCCCCCGCCTCCCAACTCCTTGATGTAGGAGAGTTGCCTGCTGCCTGGCTCCCTGAGGAGGCACTCAGCTGTGGGATTGTGCTACACGGCCCTGAACGCCACCACAGAAACATCTGGACATGTGTTTAAATGCACATTCCTGGGTGGGGGCCCAGGAATCGGCATTTTGACCAAGTACAGCAGTTGACCTCATGGGGCTGTGACTCCTGTGGAATCAGAGGAACAGCAGAGCGGGGACCTCGCCATGCTCCCAACCCCTGGACCATCCTGGCTCCTCCTGCGCACACTGCCAGCCCAGGGGCTCCTTTCTCCTGGAACTCCACCCCCCAGCCACTCTCCTTCCTGTCCTCCTCCTCGAAGGCCTGCTGACCCCCAGCCAGAGGTGCTCCTCTGCCCAGAGTGTGCCACGGGGTTGGGTTGGGGGAGATCCAGGCCAGCAGGGCTTGCCATCCATCTGTCCTGCCAGGGAGGCTGACCCCTCTCTGTGACTCTGGGCTGCTTCCCCCCTCCAGCCCCACTGCCCTCCAGCATGGCCAACAATGACAATGTCCCAGCTCTAGAACTCACAGCATCAAGACTGCACCCCTCGCGTAGGGGCCTTATTTTTGGCAGTATCAACACCGCCCCCCAAAAACGAGGGGCCTAGGCCAGGGGGCTATGGCACTGCCTCAGCCAGCAGAGAGCCAACTGCTTTGGGGCGTGAACCCTGGAGTCCTGGAGGTCCAGAAGGGGTGCCGAGAAAGCCAGGGAGGCTCGGCCTTCAATTGCTTTATGCCCCAGACTTCTAGAGAGGAGCGACCACCTCTCTCACACAGATGGGTAAACTGAGGCATGCCTCAACTCATGGGCCAGGGCTTGAGGCTGTCTTTCCCCTGTCCCCCATGGCTGGCAGACCCCAGGGCCCCAACTACATACCTTTCCTGCTGGGCCTCCAGCCTCCTCAGCTGGGCTTAGCTCTGGCATGGCAGGCTGGGGGGCAGTCATGTTGTTGCCGCTGTTGGGGTGCACGAAGACGGGGAGAAACAAGGTGTCTGCCGTGGGACAGATGTTAGAGTCCACTCTCCTTCTGGAAGCTTCAGACTGCTCCAGCCTGTACCGACTCGACCCTGGGCCCATTGCCCACTGCTTCAGCTGGACTTCTCTCACCACGGCTCCCTGCCCAAACCCACCATCGGGGCGGGGGGCACTAGATGGGCACCGCACAACATGCCCAGGGTTGCAGAGGGGCAGAGGCGGATCGGAGAAGCCCACTCAGACTTAAGACCTGTGAAGGCTTCCTGCTGATCTGAGGCCCAGGGCTGAGCAGGAGGCAGCCAGGCCAGGGGGGAGGAGAGGATCTTCTGAGACAGGGAACGGCTAGGGGAGGGCACAGAGATCAGGGGACCGGGATCAGGGAACAGGTTTCTGAGCCAGGAGGCTGGGGGCAGCGTGAGTCAGGTTCAAGTCAGCCAGAGGCAAAGATGGCCAGGTCGTCTCCCAGAGCAGACACCCCTCACACACTCGAGGCGGGGCCCTCTCTACCCACAGCCAAGCAGAAACCAGCATCCCGCCTGCACTTGGCCGTGTCCGCCCAGGCCAGCGCAAGGGCGAGGGAGCCCAGCCCGAGACAGCCGGGCAAGAGCTCTGGGAAGAGAGGCCCTGGCGGGTCTCGGAGGCCCCGGCCTTGAACTCTCCACCTGCACTTGGCCAGAGGCAGGAGTGGGGGTGGGGTCTGGAGGCCGATGTCTAACTTTGGCGCTGGCTGGGAGGCCGCAGGGAGCACTGGGAAGGAGCCGGGCAGAGGGACAGCACCAACCTGGAGGACAGGATGCCTGGGAGGCCTTGCGGGTTGTGGGGGCGGGGGTCCTGTGGGCACCCAGCAAAGGGGGAGGGTTGCTATTCTGGGATCCCACCTTTCTTTCACCCAAACCCAGCTCAGTTTGGTTCAGGTCCTGCTGAGACCCAGGGAGGGCCGGGAGGGGGCCAGATGCCTCCACCCAATCCCAGAGCCGGAGAAAGCCAGCCCTACCCTCCCTCTCAGATTGGATGCTCCCTTGTCAGACCTTCCATAGGAGCCCCCCACTCCCCCACCTCCGCCCCAATCTCCTCCCAGGACACAGAACCTCAGCCAGAGCTGGAGCCGCCAGGACAGAGACCAGGAGACGGGACCCAGAGACCCACACAGATTCCAGAAAGAGCCCAGAGGGAAGGCAGAAAAACCAGCCACAGAGACAAACCAGAGGTGACAGGACTGGAGAGAGAAGAGGGAAACAGACCCAGAGGGATCAGATGGAGGGGGGGGCGGAGGGATAGAGAAAGAGAAGAGAGAGACAGAGCCAGGCAGGCAGCCGCAGGTCTCTAAGGTCTGCCTCCCGCTGCCCCGCGCCGAGTCCATTCGCCCATCAGGGGCTCCCACCACCCACACCTTCACAGGCGCCCAGGTGTGCAAGCAGGTGCGTGGCGCGCAGCCCCCCCCCCCAGCTCTAGCCCAAAGCGCGGCGCCCACACCCTCCTCTTTCCCCGGGGAGCTGGGGTCAAGCCCCCCAAACCTCCATCTTCCTGCGCTCCAGCCATGCGGCGCCGCCTCTGCCAGGGCGCACGGGGTGGGGGCCGCAGCTGGGACCAGGGTGGGGAGGGGGCGCGCCTCGCTCACACTCACCCTCCCGTGCTGGCCACTTGCCGGGTCGCGGGGCTGCTGGGAGCTGCCAGCCTGGGTTCCCCCCGCCCCCGCTCCGCTCCCTCCTCCCCTCGCCGGCTCTTCCCTGCCACCAGTAGCCTCCCTGTGACCAAACCTCATGATCCCGGTCCCTAGAGACTCCAGGCCTCAGGTTGGAGGTTCAGGAATTGGGGGGAAGTGTCAGAATTCGGTGTGGCCAGATACGTGGAAAGAGGACACCCTCCAATTTGAAGGAGTGAAGAGAAGGAAAAGACCCAAGTGGGATGGCCAATGTGGTGAGGGCGTGTGTGTGTGTGTGTGTGTGTGTGTGTGTGTGTGTGTGTGTGACTGCACCACTTCCTCCCATCTTCATCCCCAATCCCATTCCCAAAAAGGAACAAAAGAGTCCTGGGGCAGTTTCTTTCAGTCTAGTGTCCAAACCTGGCGCCTGAGGCCGGGATGCGTAGCCTCTGATCCACGTAATTCCCCACCCTTCCACCATCCAGCATCTAACACCCACCAGCAGTTATCGAACAACCAGCTTCCAGCCAACATCCACGGTCCACCATTCAGCATCCACTCATCCAACCATCACCTACCATGCACCCCCTATTCATGTATCTTCTACCAACCGGTCACTATCCAACCACCACCCCACAGTCATTTACCATCCAACCCCAGCCATTACCCACGATCCAACCTCCATCCATCAGTCATGCATCCATCCATTCACCACCCACACCATTTACCAGGCAACTGTACACTATGAAAATACCCATCAGTCCAATGTTAATTCACCATTCATCCATCTACCACCTATCCACTCCCTGTTCACTATCTAACCGTTTTCCATCAATATTTAACAACCATCCATCATTCATTTATCCATCCATCATATGTCTGGTTGTCATTAACCAATCTATCATTTATCTACTGCCCATTTATGTGGATTTATCCACTAGCCTCCATCTCTCCAATCAGCCACAATTCTTCCATCTACAATTCAGTATCAATCACTCACCATCACTCCTCCATTCATACTTCTATGAACTACAACCTGCCACCCATCCACTCACTAACCATCCACCATCCACCCTACTCTTATCCCTACCCATCACATATCTTCATCGTCTATCTCACAATATCCTCTATCCACCTATCCATCATCCAGCCATAATTTGCTACTCATCCAAAACCCATTCAGGTATCATCTACCACCCATCCGTATTTATCCATTCTAGAAAATTTATTGAGCGCCTCCTATGAGCCAACTATTGTTCTAGGTGCTGGATGCTGGAGATAGAGTAGAGAGATAGCAACAAGGATTCATCCACGATAAATATCCACCATTACAATACATCCATGATCCATCCGTTTATCATCTCTGCATCAACTCCCACCCATTACTCACTACCTGTTTAATATCCATATTCATTCATTATCCATTCACCATCCACTTGCCATGTGTCGATCTTCCTCCATCTACACATTAAACCATGCATTTACCATACACCACTTACCATATACCATCCATCCACTATCTCTCCACCATCTTCCGCTTCACCATTCACCTTTCATGCATCCATTTCCCAAGATATAGCCATCTGTCATTTAATTGTCATCCATCCATCCCCTAATCATCATCTAGCTCTCCAGGATCCACCCACTCATTATTTATTCACCACTCACCTCCCATCTACACTTCCACAGTACACAAACCACTATCCACTGACCCAGCAACTATTCATTTATTTGTCATCTCTCCTTCCATTCACACACCATTCAGCCCCCTCTACACCATCATGATCTATCCATCAATCATATATCCATTCGTGTTTATCTGCCATTGATCCATCCATTCTCTATGGATAGATCCGTCACAGTCATCCACTTTATTTATCCACCATCCTTCTATGCTTCCATGATTCATCCACCCACCAAACATCCATTGTCTACCACCTGCAGTTCATCCTCTATCTATTGATTCTCTCAGGATCCAATACTCTATCAGTTTAGCATCCACATCCATCCATTCTTCACCCAACAACCTATAGTCTAATCTGCTCATTCCTTAACCAATTACTACTATGTAAAGGCATCCACCATTCATCATCTTCCATCCATCCATCTAGTGCCTACCATGCTTCTGATACTTATCCAACCATTATTTATACACTCATCCATGTCACACACACACACATTCTACCATTGCATCCATCTTTCATCCATGATTCACCTCTCCATCCAGTCATTCGTCCCCTACCACACATCCATCTAGTATTCCATCCATCCATCATTCTGCTATGCATTCATCCATTATCCTTATATCCTTATGTAATCCATACACATAGTTAACCTTTCTTACTTCTCTCTACCACCCATTTCCATCATTCACTCACCCACTCATCTTCTCACCATTCTTTCACCCACTCACTCATAAATTAAACATTTGTTATAAATACTAATATTAGGGCACCTGGGTGGCTCAGTAATTGAGCATCTGCCTTTACCTTGGGTCGCGATACCAGAGTTCTGGGATCGAGTCCCGCACTGGGTTCCCTGCATGGAGCCTGCTTCTCCCTCTGCCTGCGTCTCTGCCTCTCTCTCTGTCCCTCATGAATAAATAAATAAAAGTTTAAATAAATATTAATATTGAACATGTATTACTCGGTGTTAGTGCTAGCTTCTAGGATCATCAAGACGAATAAGATCCCATCCAATTTCATAGTCTGATGAATTCACAATCTGATGATCCAAAAAGAAACAAGTTACACAATGAAGTGTCACTGAAAAAAATGTTTGTTGTGTCTAAATCTTGGTGCCTCTGTCTGTTGGCCATGTGCATAAGCTCTGTGCAGAGCTTTGTGCATAAATTTCCCAGGAGAAGGCCCAGGAGGGGACATCACAGCAGGATTGACAGGGGCCTGATCTGGCCTTAGAGGCTGCAGTTTGGGAGACCTGATGATGTGGGTGTAAAGAGGGGTGAGACTGGAAAAAGGTTAGCAGAGGTCATGCAAGGTTAGGGATACTGGCTAAGGGAGGGGTCCCTGATGAGGAGTCCCTGATGATAACAGGAAGGAGGTCTGGGATGGTTTTAGGGAAGTAAGTACTCCAGTCAGTTAAATTCTGCGAAAGGACACCCTCATTCATACTCTTCTCCACTGAAGACTCCCTGAACCAGAAGGACAAAAGTTTGCCTTAGAGTCACACAGCAATGCCACAGTGGCGCCTGTGGCTGCAACTGCACCACCCTTCCACCCAGACACCCTTGTGTCAGGAAAATGTGCACTGGCATGCTCCCGGGATGCCACCCCAAGTCCCAAAAGGCCACTTTCCACTTGGGTAGGGATCGCTCTTCCTACTTGTTAATGAGGGTGCAAGCTGTCATCCAAGGTGTTAGCTGACAAGGGCCTCACAGCTCCTGGGGATTGCTGCTAACAGGGTTCTCAGGAAGTGCTGAAGGCCCCTGAGGCAAAAGCTCTGGTGGTGGTGGAACAGCAGGCTGGGGACGGGGAGTGTCTCTATTTTTATTTTTTTAATTTTTTTAAAGATTTTATTTATTCAGGGAGAGAGAGAGAGAGAGAGAGGGAGACAGAGGGAGAAGCAGGCTCCATGCAAGGAGCCCGACGTGGGACTCCATCCCGGGTCTCCAGGATCACGCCCTGGGCTGCAGGTGGTACCAAACCGCTGCGCCACCGGGGCTGCCCTCTATTTTTATTTCTTTAAACAAAATTCAACTTAGTAAATTTATTTATTTTTAAGGATTTTATTTATTCATGGTGGGGGGGTGGGACGCAGAGACACAGGCAGAGGGAGGAACAGGCTCCCTGCAGGGAGCGATCTGGGGACTCCAGAATCATGCCCTGAGCTGAGCCACCCAGGGATCCCCAAGGGAGTGTCTTTAAAGACAGGCCTGGAGGCCCACATGTGAGCCTGCAGAGTCAGCCTTGGGGCCTGTCTTCACCTTCAGCCTCTGCTTTCCTCCTCCTCCCCAGCCTCCACCCCAGGCCCTACCCCACAGGAGACACACAGAGCTGGAGGCAGGAGCTACGTGGCCTGGCCCAGCCTTTGCTGGGTACCCTTGGGAGGCCTTGCCCCCTTCTGGACCTGGACCCGACCCATGTAGTAGGAGGATAGAGCGGACTCGGTGCGGTCAGGACCAACCGTCTCTGACGCTCCCGCGGTGATGGCCGCGGCGACCCAAGAATTATCCCCTTAACCACCTCCTTAGCGCACACACTCTCCAAAGCTTCCCCGGGGTGAGGACAGCCTGCCTGGGTTGGGGGTACTCAGTGGGGATGGAACCCCGGGTCTGGTCCAGGAAGGTTTGCTCTGCGCGCCCTCTTGCGGCCTTTCTCGGGCAAAACACCGCAGGCCCCCGGACGCCGGGGCAGGGCAGCGACACAGCAGCATTTGGGTGTTAGTTTGAAACATGTGTATGTTCTCATTCATTTGGGGAATATGAATAATAGTGAAAGGGAATATAAGGGAAGGGAGAAGAAATGTGTGAGAAATATCAGAAAGGGAGACAGAACATAAAGACTTCTAACTCTGGGAAATGAACTAGGGGTGGTGGAGGGGGAGGAGGGCGGGGGGTGGAGGTAAATGGGTGACTGAGGGGTACACTTGACGGGATGAGCACTGGGTGTTATTCTGTATGTTGGTAAATTGAACACCAATAAACATTAATTTATAAAATTAAAAAAAAATAAATAAATAGAATCTTAAAAAAAAAAAAAAGAAACATGTAATAATCTGAGGTGCGACAAGAGCACCATCGGCCTGCGCTCTGTCCTCACATGCTGATCCTCTGTGAGAGGCAGACCCAGGACTGAGCCCCTGTGCGCTGGGTCCTAGGGAGCCTAACTAGATCGCCCCGGGTGAGAAGAGGACCGGCGAAGGGCTGAAATGCTCCAGATGCTTTGTTTTGTTTTGTTTTGTTTTTCTTCGGAGACTGGTAGCAGGCCGAACCCCTAGTTTATTTCAGCATCAGCAACATCTTAGCCATCACAAAAATAAACTCTACCAAGGGCGACAGAAGTCTCTACAGCGAGGCTAAGGGCTCAGCCGCCAAGTGGCGAACGTCAGAGGGGTGCATGGCGGGCACTGCCCGGGCAATAAGTTAGGAAGCAGCGGGGCTGGTGGTGGTGGCAGGTGCGGGCTGGGGCCTCACTTCTGGGCAGGCACGAGGTCATCGATGGCCTGGCCCTGCTCCAGCCGCTGCTCCATCTCGATGAGCAGCTTCACGCCATCCACCACCATCTGTACCAGCTCCACCTCTGAGAAGCCCAGGCGGTCTGCGTTGGAGACATCAAAGACGCCACCCACCGCGGCTGTGTCCACACCACCTGGGGAGACAACCAGGTCAGCAAGGCGGGTGGGGGCCTGCTCCGGAGAGAAGACTGCCTACGGCCCGTGCCACTCACCTGTGCCTCGTTTCTGAAGCCGCAGCCGCTTGAGCACCTCCGGGAACTTCTCATGCTTGCCCAGGTGGGGCAGCTTGATGTGCACACCTGCCCGCAGGCCTGTGCCCAGGTTGGATGGGCAGGTGAGGATGTAGCCCAGGTGAGGGTTCCACATGAATTCGTAATTCTTTGACTTGAAAAGTGTTTCAATCTGGAGGTTGACAAGAGAGGAGAGACCTGGTTGAGAGGCCCCCTGGGGGGACCAGCTGGGACCCTTGGAGCGAGGGAAATTGGTGGGGACACCCACATCCCTGCGGAGCTCTGGAGCTTGCCCTGCCCCCTCCCTGGCACCAAAGCCCACATATGCCAGCCCAGCTTGGGGCAGTCAGGCCTGACCTGGGTGAGGCCGTTGCAGAACCGAGTGAACACCTCCTTCATGTTGCCCCCTTTCTGCATGGAGATGACCCGCAGGTGGTCTTCCTCGTTGATCCACACCAGGAAGGTCTTATTGTCATTGTGCCAGATGCTCGAGATGGTTAAGATGAAAAGTCTGCTAGAGAAAACCTCCATCCCCTTCTACTGACTGTCTCATCTCGATAAGATTTCCACCTGTCTTGCATCAATACTAAATCTCCGGCCCCTCAAAATTGGTTGACTGCATAAAGTTTCAGGATGTTTCTCTCTAAAGCAAATAGTCCGATTTCAGTTTTTAAAATGCTGTAATGAGAGAATCACACCAACAGAGGCTGTCCCCGGGAGCCAGGCACAGTGCAAAGCACCCTTCCCAGAGTCTGTAGGACCCACGAGCCACCAGCATTACCATCAGCCACCACCACAGCATCCCTGTGGCCTGCAGTGTGCCCTGGGACAAGGCGGTGTGTGGGGGATTACGGGGGGGGGGTTACTTGTGCTGTGCAGAACTGGGGGGGTAGGGGTGGGGAGTGTGTGAGGGAGTCAAGGTGAATGGGGACCAGAGGCAGGGTGTCACTAGGGATGTCAGGCCCACCGCTTCTGGGCTGCAGGGGTCAGGGTTTGGTGTTCACAGAGGTGTTTGAGCCCCCTCCCAGCCCCTCAGACTAAGGCCACTAGGGTCCAGGGACCCCGTGATGGCAGGCGAGGTGGTGGCTACACACAACCCGAGGACCTAGGGACACCCATCCATCCCTACGCCCATTCCCCATGTCCTGCTCCCCATGGATGAGGGAAAGGCAGGCTACGGACCACCCGCCTGGGGGCCTCGCTCCCCTTGGCTGGCACTGCCCGATGCCCACTCGGGTGGCTTGGAGTCTGTCTCCTGGTGTCAGTTTCTCCAGCTGGAATCTGTGGGGGAGACGCAGACTCCCCGTGTCCCCCCCCTCCCGGGAGCCGAGGGGATGGGTGACGTTCCCTCTCTGCGCAGCGCTGCCACCTGCAGCCTCTACACAGGCTCAAGAGAGTGGTAGTGGTCGGAGGGAGAACGGGAGAACGGAGGTGGAGCCGTCTGGGCTCCCGGCAGAGGGAGGGGCTTGCTCCCCAGTTCACAGGCCAGGGGCGCCCACTGGTCCCCTGCTCAAGGAGCTCCACTGGGGAGGCGAGGGGAGCACGGGGGCTCGGGTTCAGCCCGCCGGGTTCTGGGGGACTCTGCGCGCCCATCTGAGGTCCGTAGCTGGGTGATCTGAGAGGAGGTGATGGCGCTTGATTTCCGGCCTGAAGGACAGGTGACTTTGGTGGACAGGTGGGGATGGAAGAGAGAGGCAGCCCAAGTGTGGGGACCATGGCTGGGGCAGGCGACAGGGGCGGGGGTGCTGCTCTGGGACCTGAGGCTGGTCCCACTGCAGAACTGACCTGGGCAGCCGGGGAGGAAGAGAGCTGTCCCAGGGCACGCTGCCCACAGAGGTCACTGCGCAGACGTCACCCCGCCTGCTTCGTGCTAGCAGAGCCCGGGGCCCACCCCACCTGGTGCCTGCCCACCCCTGGGGACACTGTGGTCACCACCTCTTCCTGCTTCTTCACCCCAGCCCATTCCCTGCAGCTGAGGGTGGGCAGGACACCTGGCGGTGGGGTGAGGGTGGGGTGTCAGAGTTTTAACATCTAGAGCCGTCAGAGGTCTACCCACTGCCGGGAGCAAAGGGCAGGACCCAGCTGGCCGTCCTCGGAGATCCCAGGTCTCACCACACATGGCCACGCATCCCCACCCCACTAAGCCACAGCGCCTGTTCACAGAGGTGGTGACAGATCCTTCTCCGGGAAGTGCTGGTGAATGAGCGGTGCCTGCCGTGACCCCCTTTGTGTAACACATGTGAGGTTTAAAATAGATGCCCCTTAACCGCACACAGCAATGTTCTGGAGCGCAGGACCGTCATTGCTGCGTACGAGGCACTGTCTGGGGGCTTCACGGAGCTCTCTAATCTGGAGACCCTGGAAGGATGGTCCTTTATTATCCCACCCTGTGGAGGACACAGAGGCACAGAAGGGCTCAGGAACCTGCTCAGGGCCACAGAGCTGAGCGAGAGGCAACACTGGGGTTCAGAGGGGGCACACCTGCTGCTCACTGGGCCGGGTGGCCACTTGGGTACGAGCTGAGCAGGTGGGGAGCGCCCCTCTGGGGCACCTCCACTTCACAGGGGCCACTCCCCGGGGTCTGCGGCCAGGCCAGTGGGTCCTCCAGCCCTCACCGCAGCCCTGGGCACGGGCACCGGCTCGGGCACCGGCTCAGAGAAGGAAGCGGCTGGCGCCAGGGCTCACAGTGCCCAACTGAGTGGGGGACTCGGGGTTCCTGCCCTCCTGCCTTCCAGGCCCGCAGGCCACCCCAGAGTCCTCCTTCTCCCTGCGCGCCGGGGTGCGGGGGAGAGAACAGCCTGGAGGCTGAGCAGGCTGAGAGGTGGGGGCGCCTGGCAGCCCGGATCCCGCCCCTGGACTGCGTGGGGATAGGCGGGGGGTGGGGGGGATAGGACCTGGGCACTTCCCGAACCCGGCCCGCGCCCAGTCCGTCCCGCCCCCTGCACCCCAACCCCCACAGGTCCTCGAGTGGCTGGGCCACCGTTTTCTTCCTGGACATTCACCAAACGTGTCCTGCGACAGCAGCCACACGGGGCGCGCCTCTGATTGGGAGCAGAGGCCCCCAAACCCTGTGCCCGGAGGGTGCGCTCTGCGGGCGCCAGGATGGTGTGGGAGCGGGGCACAGGCCGCAAGGACCAGGTCGTGGCTTTGCAGGGAGGGGTCTGGCATCTGGCTTCCTGACCCGCTCAGGGTCTCCAAATCCGATTTAGGGAGGTGACCCTCTGAGATCAGCGGGCGGGATCTGGGCTACCAGGGATCCTACTGATGGTAAAGGGGTGAAGTGCGGTGTCCGCCCCCTCCGCGCATCACCCCTTAATCCGCTCGAGGTGGAGGGCATTTCACCCACTCGGCAGGTAAGGGGTAATTTGATAATGAGTTCGGTCTTCCCCTGGACTCAATCAGGCGAAGCTGTGGCCGTGTCCAAAGTAGGTGTCATCCTAAAGATGACCACACCCTGGACTCCCTCCCTCTGTTTCGGGGTGGGGGTCAGTTAGTGGGCAAGATGGCCCAGAACAGAGGCCCTGGTCGCAAACTGGGAGTCAGTCTAGAGTCTGCAGAATTATAGGGAGGCCCCTGCTCCACTGGTTCTGGGTCAGCGAGTCTGACGTGCTTTTCGAACAAGTTCCCAGGGACTGATGCTGCTAGTGGGGTAGGGGCACCACACTTTGAGAACCACAAGGCGGAAGGGGGGGCCAGAGGGACAGGAGTGTCCTCAGTCTGACCCTTCTAGGCCTCTTCATGGTCCACACTCCAGGCAGGACATGTCAGCCTGGCAGCCTGGGGATGTCTCTGCTCAGGCCTCCACTGGCCACACAGACTTAGACAAAGTCCTGACTCCTCCACTGACTTGCTGAGTGACCCTGGCTGGGTCTCTTGGTGGCTTGGAGCCTCTGTGTCCTTACACACTCAGTAGGGAGAACAAGACTGAGCGTAGACAAGCAAGAGGCTACGTGGAAAGTGCTCGACGGATAGAAGTGTCCGGGGTTATTCTTTTTTCCCAGGAGGGAACCCCAGCCTGGTTTAGAAGGAGGAAAGGCAGCGCAGCGTGGTGGGCCAGGGAGCCTGCGACCAGAAGCAGGCTCTGCCTTTTACCAGCAGCTGCGTCACTTCCCCGAGCCTCAGTTGGCTCTCCTGAAACAGGGGGCCACCCCGGCCCTGCCTCACCGAGGTCTCAGCGGGTCGGTCTGCAAAACGCCATGCACAGGGCACTTAGAGTGTTTCCAGCATTTGCTGTGAAGCCTTGGTCTCCTCCCTCAAGGTGCCCCCCCTGCCCCCGCCATGGACTCTGGACGCCTCCTCCCTGACTGCTTGGCCCAGCCTGCACACCTGCTCCTTCCAGGCAGTGAGGAGTTCCCTCAGTATTGCTGTAGGCTCTGGAGCAGAAACCCTAGACCAGAGGCTCCAGAGGGCCCCATTTATGCCTGAGGCAGTGGGGAGCCATGGAAGGCTCCGGAGCAGGAGAGATGTGGTCAGAGCCAGCCTTTGGGAAGATGTCTCTGGCCATGGTTGAGGGCCTGTGGGACTGCCAGTAGGAAGCCAGCAGGGCAGGGAGGAGGCGGCGCGGGCTGTGTGGGTCGCCCCCTTGTCTCACCTCCCACCAGCGTCACTGTCCGCGGCTACTATCTCTAAGTACCACTTGCAGAACGTGCCCAGTGCGCCTGCAGGCTACGCCCCTGACCTCACTGATGTCTCGCGGCCTCTGCAATGCAGAGTCTCCGTGTCGCTTTCAGCCCTAGAGGACCTGGGGGGGTCGGTCTGCTGCCTCTAGGCTGGTCCTCTCACCCAGCCTGCAGAACATCCCGCATGGGCAGCTGCTGGGCACTGCCGGTTCAGAGCTTTGGGAGGCCGGGAACATTCCTGGAGGCAATGGGGCGTCTCTGGCAAGGACATGCATGGGGGGTCAGAAGGCCCGGGCTTGCAAACTTGCAGTTAGGCCTGTGTCAGGAGGCCAAGGAGACAAGAAGCAGCCCCCTCGCGAGAGGACCATCTGGCCTCCCCTCCCTCCTGCCCGCCACCCTCCCTGGGCTCCCAGCCTCCTTCCATCGTGCACGCACGTCTCTGCGGGCACTTTCTTTGTGTCCCGTCCTGGCAGGGTGCTGGCTCATACCGCTGACCTTCAGAGTCCTCCACGTTGTCAGCTGGGAGGTTGAGAAGGAGGAAGACAAACACCCTTCAGGAAGAGCCGTGGCCCAGCGACTTGGGTGGCAGGAAACCTCAGGAACCACCACCAGGGTCACAGCGACCACAGGACCCAGGCAGCAGCAGGCAGGGAAAGTGGACTGGCTGCAGAAAGTCGCGTCGGCCGAGGCCCACCCATGCATGTTGGGGCCTGCCCCCCGCCCTGCCACCCCGCGCTGGCCACCTTCTATTCCCATCCTGTGCCTGGGGTTTTCTCTGCCTGGAGGGGGTCCCATAGCTGCTTCCTTCCTGCTCATGTCTCGGCCGCAGCCTCCCTCCACCCCGCCCGTCACATTGCTGGGTCTGCTTTCCTCGAAGCCCTTCCCACTCTTCAAAATTCTCTCTACTCCTCT